CAGAGTTTACAAGTGTACTTGGTACCGGAATGGCTCTCTATATGTCTAGCAAGAGATTTTTTGTGAGCGTAGCTCATAGAACAATGAGGACACTTTAATTCTTTTGATTCCTGCTTTTTCAATGGCAATTCATTTGACGCATCCTCGTTAAATTTTTCATTATCCTCGTTACTTTTGGTAAGTTTCCCTTTAAAATTAAGAAAAATTCTAAATGAATGACTAGTTAATTATGCATTGATATTATTAATGTTATTAATATTATTTGGTATTATTTATAATGTTCACATATATTTTTATCATATTTTAGAATATTTTAAAATAATATTGCTCTTAATATCCCGAATGTTTTTTCTACTATTGAAATTTATTCGATGTAACGAATTATGCTTGTAACTAATAACTAATTATTATTTCACGAGGCTTAATACAATATTTAGTATAATACAAATATTTTACCATTTAAAGTTATTTAAAAACATTTAATTGTTAACGACAATTGCATTATAAAATTTTAATACTAAATTTCATTACTTTTTAAAAATTTGTAGAACAATGAGGACATATTACAAACTACTTGTATACTTTTTAGTAAAAGAATCTTACATATAATCTATTATATTTTTTTAAAAGAAATTTTAAATTACAATTTATAGGAAGTATTCAGTTCTAATTGCTAGCAAAGCTGAAATACATATAATAAATAACACGTTATATCCAATCAAAAAATTAAATATTTAAAAAATAAATTTCAAATAAAAAAAAATCGAAGGTAATAAATAAATATCCATTCACCTTCGATGTTCAGCTGTTCAATATCATTTTTTAGATCCTGTTCAGAGAGCACGCCATCAACAACATGCTTTGACCGATGATTCCTTAATTTAATTATTGTGTCAAACACTTCATCGCATGTATTACACTTCATACTGTCCCTCTTTGCAACTTCTTTTTTATTTTTTTTCTCACTTTCTTCACTATCCGAATTCGTCGATGGATTTTCATTGTAGCCATGAAAATTCAATGTATCCTCATCTTCGTGAAATGAAACTTCTAAAGGCATAAGTTCTTCCTTTGTTCCGCTCTTCTCATGTTGTTTCAAATGTTTGTTGTATGATATAATATACAGATATTCTTTCCCACAATGAGGACAAGTGTTTGGATGTTTACCACTCGAAGGTGATTTCAATGAAACAGAATTTGTTGGACTATCTGGTTTTTCCGGTACTTTTTCTGATTTCTCCACTACCTTATGCATATACGTAAGTGTTTTTCTCACTTCTTCGTGGGAGTGCATATGCTCTTTCAAAATTTCCTTCGATATAAATTGTTTATCGCATAGATAACATATAAAAAACACTTTTTCTGATTTATCTAATTGGACTTTTAATCTAGAGCTGAGGTTAAGATTTTCAAAATAATTGTCTTCGTCAAATTCTTCAACGTGAGATTTTCGTTGATTAATTTTCCGTTTGCTTCTGCGAGTTGATTCAATCGATGAAGGTTCTTCCGGTACATTATTATAAACTTCTTGATTTTGTACCTCTTCTTTATCATCTTTCTCAATAATCTGTAATAATAAAATTATTAAACGATAAAATTATGTCATATATTCTTTAAAATCAATATTATTTTTATTGTTTATATATATATATATATATATATATATATATATATATTACTAGACTAACCAATGTATATAATATTAAATATTTAATATTGTTACTTATTAAATACGTCGTCGATTACGTTATAATAATAAATTATTACGTTGAATTTATGCAATAAAAAATGAAATAATACATTCTGAATATTAAAACCAACTTTTCATAATAAAAAAATTATCCTATTTATTAATTATATGCCCGTTCTTAACGTATCCGCTTGCACAATTTATTTTTACAGAAATCGTCTCATATCTGTATATATATTTCTCTCACTTGTCTTCTATTATTTTCCTCTTTTTATTTTATTTCTTACTGTTTTTATCACCATCTAGCTAGAATTTTCTATTGTTTTATATTCAATAACTGCTCCTCTTACTATCTGCCTAACTGAAATCTTTATCAATTTTTTCTCCTATTTTTTTTATCTTTTATTGTCACGTCAAGATAGAGTAGCCATTATTTTCTGTTCTATTTTCCACTTTTATATCGTATGTTTGATCTTAATTCATATTTTATAAGACGACTTATTTTTCAATTGATCTAAAATATTTACTATAACAATATAATATAAAAATGTTAACATTATTTCCTAAATAAAAAATGCAATCTATAAACTTTCCATTATTGTTGTTATATTTATTATATTAATGCTGAGATGTGATTACATGTTAAACCTAAAAATTATTGCGAACAATTATTTATGGAAGGAAAATTATTATTTAAAAATTAAGCATAAATAATTTCAATCAATAATGTATATTATACTTCTACCACCTTTATTACCAACAAAACATTCTATTAACGAAACAAACTTCTAATCTTTGCACGCTTCTCAGATTAGTAATAAGTAGTAAATTATAAGTATCCTTGAATTACAAGCCATACATATATTTTTTAATTATAAATATTCGTGATTTAAATAACATTGTAATTCCATATTTTAAATAATTTGCATAAGCTGCATTGATTTAAGAAATTAAAATTCTTACTTAAAACAACAATTCAATTACTCCAAATAAAATTTCTGTTTTATATATTTAATATGAATAGACAGACTAAGTATTGCTTATTAGTAAAAAGTTTAATAAAATCAAATTAAGTTAAAAAGAAAATTTCATTAGGAATACTGCTTCATATAAGTTTTCAAAGCTATTTAATTAATAAATATTAAGATAATTTAGTTAAAATAAAAATTATTAGCCTTCAACTTAAGTATAATTAAATAATGAATAAAAATACTAGTATTAAAACCATATTCATGAAATGTTATAATGAAATAGAAACATTATAATGAAAAATTTGATAAAAAATAAAAAAAATTTTAATATACATTTACCTCTACATTCAATGTATGATTCTCATTTGTAATATCACACGGTTGTGATTCAGCAACATAATTATGTTCGTACATTGCTAATTGATGATTTTGATTCAATTCTTGTATTCTCTCTTGATCGTTAATTTCATGAAGCATTATTTCTTGTAAAACCTGTGCTCCAAATGATTGATTATGCTGTTCATTTGTTATTTCTTGTAGTTGTTGATTATCTTCGCTACAGATCTGTTGGTCATTGCTAATTTCCTGCAAATTTTGGTCCAGAGGAATTTTATTTTCTTCTGTATTTTCAATTAACTGTGCATTTTCTTCTTCATTTTTATACTCCTTTATTTCATGTTGCTCAATAATAACATTATTTGATTGTTTTTGTAAATCTTCACTTTTCAAATTATCGCCCTCGCTTAGTTTCTGAACACTCAATAAATCCATATGATCTTTAAGAAGTAAACTTTCCTCTGTTATCTCTCCAATGTTATGCCTATGGCTCGATAAATTAACATCCACATCACTAAAAAAAAGTTCTTCTTTCATGTTTAGCGAATCTAATCTCTCTCTTAATACACTATCCGCTTGTTCCACTTGCAATTTAAACTTATACGCTGATTCAAGCTTATCCGTGCAATCGCAACAGATATTAGAAGGTAAACCATCTCCAGGCAGCATCTGAACAAAATTGTGCCTATGTATTTTGTTTTGAAATTATTAATTATCAGTTAAAAATTATTTATATGATCTGTATGTACATTCTGAATTTTTTGTAAATTTCTTATAAAAATTATTAAAAACTTGTCAATAAAATAAAATGACAATAACAAACAAGCTCAACTTTATTACAATTTTATTTAAAATTATAAATAATAGAATGTTTTAACTTTGACTATTAATACCAATACATAATATTAATTAATTGCTTTATCGACTTCCTCATTATGTTATAACTATAATTGATTATAAAATTTTTATAATGGAATAATATATAAATATCAACAAATTACAAGCAATTAACAATAAAATATTATGTATGAAATAGAGAAGCTATCGATACTCCAATTAATAAGAATACTGAATTAATTGCATCTAATTTATTCCATAAGTCTTCATTTTTATATAATTTAAATAATCAATGACATTTATGCTTCATATGTGTTATTGTGATATGTGCTTAACAACTTTATGTGAAACACGCCTAAATACTTAGACAAAATGTCATAATGATAAATTGAAATAAAAAAATTATATTAATTAACATTATAATAATTAAATAGTGACGAGGAACATTTTATTAGCATTATAAATCTATTACCAAATATTAATACAGCTGGATAAACATAAACAATCCCTTTTCTCTTAAGATATAACAAAGGATCGTAGTTTGAATTTAAAAACAGTTAGATTTTTAATAATAGAAGATTTATACATAGTTTCCAAAAACATAGATTAAGAAAAAATGTATAAACTTTAACCTGCAAAACGAATAGCATCCTAACCTTAATGCTTGTAAGACTCATAGCCTTATCGGACAGGGACAAAACACCATCCACATGAAAAATGCCCCGCATCATGGGATTACCGAGAAGACAAACACGACATATTTCTACTTGGTGCTCCGAAACCATGCCGACGTCGTCGTCGCTAGACGGTGGCAGCCGCGAATCCTCCGACGTATTTATTTCGACAGCGTCCATATTTTGTTTGTCTCTTCCACAGAATCAAATATAGACAAGTGGAATAGAGATGAAAGATCCGAAATCGGATACAACATTAACAATGGGAAATGATTTTGACGAAAAATATCCCTAGCGGCAAATCCTCTAACTATAAGCGCTTTTTACATATTACACTTATCCAAATACAAGATAATGTTAAGACAATGTTATTAAGACACAAGTTGAAAAAAAATATATATATTAACAATTCGAATTTGTAAATGAAAGTTGAAAAATAGTTTAATTGACGACTACATTAATGTATCTAGTTATTTAATACACAAATGGACATGCGCTCGTAAGTTAGAAAATTTTCAGATTTTAAACACAATATCAAATTATGTTTCAATCCACTCATAAAAATGCCCTTTAAATTATTATTTCCATTATATTAGTAAGAAATGTTTTACAAACAATCGAGCGATGTATTTGAAAATATTATTAAATTTAAATATTATGAATTTTTCATTAACAATGTACGTATATGAAAGAAAAATGTGTTAAAATTTATTCCATTATATTTTTCCGCTCGAGTAATAAAAATATATAAATTCTCCACCATTGTTATGAATAAATAATTAATTTTGATAAATTATCATTAATTCTTTATTTTGCTGAGCATATTTTTTGTTTAATTATACTGATACTTCTTCACATATTGTATTCTAAATAAAATACGTTAAGTATATTTTTAAAACGATAGTATATTTACTTTTTAAAACTATTTATTGTAGAATTTTTGGAAGATTTTTTTTTTTTTTTTTTTTTTTGTTATATATTTATATATTTATTAAGATTTTAATATGATATGAAAAATGTCGTTTTTAAAAATTAACACAATCGGTTTAAAATCGTTTTAATCGCAATTACATATTTAATGTCTAGATTGTTAAATAAAAGTAATGACGATAAGAATGAGTAATTTTGAATTAACATTTACCGAAAAAAAAAATGTTAATGTCAATACATATAATCTCATAATATATCGTGTGCAGTGCCGTGTAATCAGCTAATAGCTAATCAAAAGATTATACAACATGATTATTATTCTATTTTTTGTAAATTAATATGAATAAACAATCTGATACAATGAAATGTGATAATCTTCTCATGTACTTGGAAATGTAAATTTCACTATTTACCACTTATGTAGCCTTAATTTTAGCGTATAAATTTAATATAATTATAGTTGGATTGGTGAGGATGCTGATACAATCATTGACTTGATTCAGATTCACTTTTAAGTACTCCTATGTACTTAGGTCTAATTATTTTTTTACTTTACTCTAAATGTTTCAAAATTTGAATAAATCTTGAAATTGTAGAATTGCTTTTTGAAAACTAATATTAAATATCATTCATTGGCTAATAATCGAAAGCGACATTATCCTGACAAAGTATTTCTTTCATTGTATAAAAAATAGGAAAGGGAAGTAAATAAATAATATAAATTTAATAGACAATATTGATTATTATATATTGGATGATATACTCGAGCATTTGAAAGTCGACGGGATAAATAATTCTACAATTATTTTAATTATACTAATTCTCCAATTACTCTAAGTAATTGTAAAAATGTGTAACATAAAAACAGTAATATCGAATATTCTATAATGTAGGCATTAATGATTTTAAACGTATAAATATTGAATTTATCGTCGCATAAAATTATTTATATCGCATAAAATTATTTATGTGCCATTATTGTACTATTTTGTCTTAAAATACAAAAATTAATTGTTGTTAGAAATTTATAAGCATTGTTTTTCTTTTTTTTTTTTTTTTTTTTTTTTTTTTTTTTTTTTATATGAATTATTATACCGTAAATATAACTTGAAATTATATTATCGATGACATTTAGACGAATTTTCTGACAGTTGTTAATTTAAAATTGTTTTAAATTGTAATTTTGAAGATAAATATTTTATGAAAGAATACAATTTTTATGCAATTGCAGATATGAATTTAAAAAATAAATATTTCCATATGTAAAATTAATATAAAATATTAGAAATGCATACAATGAAATTGTTTCTCATTTTTGAGTAGGCAATGTTAAATTAAAAAATTTACGAATGAAGAAATGTTGTGCACGATTATTGCACTATAAAATAATTTTAATATTTGTTCGTAATAACGACACAAATTTTTCCTTGAAAATCAATATAGATAAACATGATTTGAATGACTTGTTTAGGTTGAAATGAGTCATACGAATAATATTTAATTGACTTTTGAAAATGTACTAAAATATTACTTTAATATTTGAAGTTGAAAAAAATACATAAACAATGAGACTTCGGATAAATAAGAAATTAGTAATCCTTAAATATCATTGGATGAAAATACATTGAATAATTTACAATACTAAATTATAAATTAGCATATTTAATTGCGATATTTCAAGTTGTAACCGGTGTAACCGAGGTATATAAAAATATTAAATACGTATTATTTCGTTAAAAGCAAATGTAGTTAAAAATGATTTGGGCAAATTTTGTCAAAATATTATATACGTGCAATATTTTTTTCATTTTACAAGTAATCTTTAACGAATTTTCTACAATAAAATTATCAATGCATTTTTCTTTTTATTCCAAGATTGATATTTTATTAGAAAAATTTGACTATATTTTCAAGAAATTTTTATTCTTTCTATTTTATTCGTAAATTCACTACTCAATATATATGAGAACTCTTTATAAATTTTTGCAATCTTTAGTATTAACTTCTCTCTGAGATATACTTGCACGATTTATTATTAATTAAAATTTTAAGATTATCATATCATTTATTAGACATGTTTATTCTATTTAAGAATTTTAAGTAAAACAACTGTTAGCTTATATATTTCTGAAAATAGTTATTTTTCATCCATATAGGAATTTTTGAAAATTTTATAAGCAGTTTAATTATAAATCATTTCATCGCGACAAAATTCATGATTCTTTTTATTTATGTTTCGTTGAAAAATTTACGCGCGAGCATTGCTCATTATATTATTCGAGTACAATCATACTGTTGCATTAAACTATCATTATGGATGAGAGTAATGTCATCGGCCATTAATATTATGGAAATTTAGGACTTCTAATAGCATTTTGTTCTAATAGATATAAAATTTTGACTTACTCGAAATACTCAAAGTGTTCTGCTTGGTCGGAAACGTTCTCTCTTTCGTTTTTTCTTTTTATTTAAGTGATTTAAATATTTGCAGATTCTATGAAACTAGTATTCATAATAATTGTAATAGTTATTTGCCAATCTTAACCTTTTTCCAATATATAAAATGAAATACTCTCCATACTTTAAACATAGTTAACTTTTTTTCTCATTCGTAACAAACTAATGGAAACTGTCGATATCAGCTGTAAAGTAATTATAGCTGTATTATATTTGAATTATATTGTACTCTCTATTTCAATGATATAATAATTTTCTATAGTATTTTATATGCATATTTTAACAATATTATAATCGTTATTGGCCATTATCACTGATGGTAGCACATTTTTTATATTTTTCATCTTGCATTTTTACTTTTAACATCTAACATTATTTTTTTTCACTATTACAAGGTTATCAACTTTCACTTCGCTACTGTTCTGGTTTTATTTTATACGTGTTTATATCTAATTAAGACATACCCGATGCATTTATTTATTTATTTTATTTTATTTGAAATTGTAAATAGTCCAATTTTCAATAATTAAATTTTTATATCGACGAAATTTTTAGTTTTGTTTTGTAGTTTGCATATTTAAATCAATATGTTTTTCACAAACTCCAGACGAATTGTTTTTATCGAAGTATGTAGAAATGGCGCGAGAAGTAGATAAAATAATAAGCCTTTGTAATGTACGTGTTTCTGAATTTCTTTTTCTCAATACTAAAAGCATCGTGTTAATATTCATATTATAAGATTTTTAACATTAATCGGTCAATATTTATTTCTATAATATAATAAGTGAAACGCTGGCATAATGTGACATATTTTCCATATCATAATATCTGCACGATTTTCATTTTTCGCCGACATGCGTGACACCTCTGACATAAGAAAAATAGGATTAAATACAATAAATTATCTTAATATTTTTTTTTCTTTATCCTTTCTTTTTTTTTTTTTTTTTTTTTTTTTATATCAAACAGCTTTTAATCGTTAACGTGAGTCTGTCGCTAATCGTAAGTCTGCAAATAATTTGACTATTTTATTATATATTTTTCAATTAAATTATTATTTAATTTACGATTAGATGTAAATGGTATGTATAGAAAAGATAATGAACTACGTTAAATTGATTATTAAAGAATATTAAATTTTTTATTCGTATTTTTATCAATCATTAGATATACATAAATTTGTCTTTTTGGTATTTCGATTTTTCATAATTTTAAAGTTTTCTAATAGATTTAGTCTTTCGTTTTCTTTCGTTGACAATATTATTACAATTTAAACAAAATGTATTATCGAACACATTTTGCATGCATTGTAAAATATATTGTAAATATATTATTAAATTAATTCTGCAGCATTTTAAATCCTTGGATGACAATCAGTCGGATTTTCCAATATTAATGTTTATTGTCGAATAAGCAATAAAAGTTCTTAGTAAACCAAGCCGAATTTAATTTGATTTAGTAATAAAATATATGTTAAAAGAAGATATAGAAAATATTAAAGTTTTATATTTCATGTAAATTATCATTTTTATTTTAATGAATTTACTTTACTAGAAAGTGTATTAATTTGTTTAATAATCGATCACCCGAAAGATTGATAATAGAAAATTTTGTTTAATTTTAAGGGTACGATATGAGACTTTGCTAAGTCATTTAATTTATTAATTTTATTTTAAGATATTAAATAAATATAGGCTTCCTAGGCTTCGCATGCTAATTGAAGCATTACATATTAATTGAATTCACCAAATATTTGCCAATTATTTGCTACGATATTTTACTTTGAAATTTATGATCATTTATTATAAAAATTTTTGAACCCAATAATTCGGCCTACTGATACTTTGTTTTCACATAGTCGGTGTGGAATTTTTATTTATGTAATAATTAGAATTGAGCTTAGTATGCCTGACTAATGGGGGACCGACCAGCTAAAGTTTACATAATACTAAAACATCCAAATTATGATGTATTATGCACCTTTTAAATATACTTATTAATATTATATACGTATGTAGCATATAAATAAAAATAATATTATATACTTATTTAATCGTGCTCTAAATTGTGTATTAAGGATTTCTTAATTAGCTTCTTACTTGATTGTTTAAAAGTATTTTGCAATTTATTAAATTAATTTGTAGATAGAAAAATATTAAAAATTTTAAAAGTTTAGTTAATTCCGTTTTTCTTTTTCTTTTTCTTTTTCTTTTTTTTTCTTTTTTTTTTTTCATTGGCGTTGTCAATAAAAATTGTGCAGTACAAAAAGTTATTAACGTAAAAATAATTTTTTAACCGTAATAAAAACGTCATTACTATTATACTTAATGAAAAAGTACATATTTCATTTAAGTATGTGCACAAAAATATTGTTTTAAAAGAAATTCCTTAAATCAAAGATTCGCTTAATGAAAATTCTATGTTACTTGCACATTTTTATAAATGAGGTTTTTCGAGCTTTAACATTAGATTTTAGAGTTGAAATCACGTTATGATAAAAATTACTGCGATCAGCAATTCATCGTTTAGTAATATATTTATCATATTTTAGACCGACACAGTAATAACTAACTATATAATATTTTTAAAACATTTACTGTATGTCGTTTTGTAACCCTGTGATGAAATTATAATAATTGTCTTTATAATTGTCTTCTTATTTTTCTTTACGTTTTATTAATCGGCCACTATAACGACATTCCTATTATTGCCAATAAAAATTCTATACACTATTAAACTATTTTATTATACGATTTTACGCTTGATTTTACTTGCAAAAATATATCGAGATACTAGCTTACCAAACTTACCTGTAGCTATTCAGTTACTCTAACTGTTATTATTCAATAAATGAAATAGGGCTAAGTGGTTGTGGATAAGAGAACTCTATTGGCCGTTAAAACCATCTCCCTCGCGCCATAACACCATCCATTGTATCCGGTATCCTATAATTTAAATCGTACTGTATTCAACGTTATAAGCTCTTATTGTCTATCTGTCGTACATTTAATTATATTTATTGACATTGTCGTTAATAGTTATTGTCATTTATGAATGAAAAGCTTTATTTAACCTTATACTGCACTTAAAGTTTCTTGACATACCTTGTTAATTTCTACTTCATTGTCTTCCATCTACCTAACTGAATCTTATTTGCCATGAGCAATATAATGAACTTGAACGCAAATACAGTAAGATAAAAAAAAAGGTATTTTGATTTATCAGAATGACAAATTATTTTTAAAATAACTCAAAATTATAAATTATTGTCAGTTATTGTTTTTTATTAAGGATCATGCGTGATTAAAGTATCGACATCGCGTACAGCTACTACTGCGTACCAACAGCAATAACTCCGGAAACTTCAAAACAGTTGCTAAAGTCATTCGATTCATATAATATATCCGACTACATTAACTCTAGATGAGTTAGTCTAGAGGTAGATGATGAAAGTGGATTAATTTAATTTTCATTGTTTCAGAATTGTTAAGTCTAAAATTGATGCGATATTTTTGAGAAGATTGAGTTGAAAGATAAAACTAACTCACCAGAAGTAAGAGTGCTGTCTTCATTGAAAACTATTGGAATGTATTTCGGAAAGATTCTTATTGAACGAATCCTATTAACGAATCTGTATGAGTAATTATTTTAACAAAATAACAATATTACTCTTCAATATGTGACGGCAATATTCATTATACGTGGCTCTATTTCATCTGCATCAACATTATCGTATATAAAAAAAAAAAAATAAAAAAAAAAAAAATAAATAAATAAATAAATAAATAAATAATAATATTTATTTAATTAATTTAATAATTTAATTTAATAATAATATAATTTGATTTATTACTATTAATTGTATTACATGGATTAAATACTGTACAATTTATAAATAGTGTGCTTATTTGTGAATAATTGGTCAATAACGTGCTTTGTTGATGAAACATATTTTTATTATCTAAAAACTCAAATATTATTATATTCATATTAAAATTAATGTTCATATAGGAATGTCAAGATTCTCGAATAAAAATAAGATATAATGAAAATTTATTTTAACATACGCAACTTAACATCAAGCTAAACGATGAATTAACATTTATCACTTACAATTATTGAAAATTAAATTAATACATATTAACAGCGTGAATAATGAAATATCGATAATGATTAACAGAACTGTGCATATTTGTTTTTTTTGGATGAAAACCGATTTCAAGTTTAGGACAAGTTCCTTGGCTTATCCCGATAACGTATTTTTCAAAGAAAAGAGGTCCGCCACTATCTCCCTAAAATTATAATATAAATCGATAATAAACACTTAGGAATGCATTAGTGTAAAAAATTGTAATTTATTTATACTTTATATAAAGTGCCTGTTATAATGCTACCACACAAGTAATTTATTTGAACATTGTCATTATTAATTCACCCAGAATTGCGATTTTCTAATATAATTAATCAATTAAAAATTATGATGAACAAAATAAAGGGAAACTAGGTAAATTAGTCAAAGTAATTATATCGCTTAAAACCATGAAGAAATTCTCATAATCTAATTTTTCATAAAAAAAATTTTTTTTTTTTTTTTTTAATAACATCATATTTTAAATATTTATAAAATTTATAATATTTTTTAATGCTTTATTATAACTTGCATAATTGGTATTAAAGTATTAGAAAATTAATCAACATTAGGCAAATTTAATGTCAAATTAGATTGAAAAAAAAAAAAAAAAAAAACGAAACAAAATCTGTAGAGTATAGAGTAGCTTTATTACGTTAAAAATTAATAATTTGTAATGGAAGTGCATATTGATTATGTTATTCGATGTTTACTTGTGCTTGAAAACGATTAAAGATTAATAAGAAAACCCACGCTATTTGCAATGTATTGTTGCAACGAATTGCCTAAGCAATGTAAATCAATAAGATCAAAATTTATGCTAGAAGCGCGAATACTTACATCAGCTAACAAAGCAAATGGCTTCTTAATACTACATATAAATTTGTCGTGAATTCTGTATTTTTCACCATCAATTTCAAAAATTACTCTTTCACATTCAGTATTCGATATGATGTTTAATTTCGTTGTTTGAAGGATAGATGAACTGCTGCCACTATTTCCCGTACCCCATCCAGCTACGATAACTTTCGATCCAACATAAGCGGAATTCGGCTGATAGATAAGCATAGCTGGAATAACTTCATCGGGTACTCTTTGAATTAACTTAAAGAAAATTCGCTTATTACAATCCTGTCAACTGGATTATTTGTCAAATTACGTAATATTTAATTGAAATAAATATTTACTCTTGTGATAGCGATGTCATTTGTATTCACTACCGGTTGTCCTGTTGCAGATGCCCACCAATCGAATGTTAACCACCAAAATGGATAATATATTGTGGCCGTACGTAAGTCGGTTGATCCGACAAGCACTTGAAAAGAGGTCGATTGGTCATCCACGCAATGCTCAGCTGTTAATAAATGAGTTGATGATATGAGAACGCCAGTACAAAGAACTAGGCTATCCGGATCGGAATCTATTGGTATTCTATTGGCGATACATACGACAGAAGAAAATTTTGTCCCTTCTGCGGGTGCAATGCCGTGACCAATTAGTGCTTTTGTCGTTACGAAGTCATATTTGTTACCTATGTACATTGCATTGAATTATTTTATTTTATTTTAATACGATCATAATGCTGCTACAATTTTTTTTTTTTATTTTTCTGGTTTTTGTTTTTGTTTTTCTCATTTAAATAAATAGAAAATATTTGCATTACTTACTGAATATCATAAATTGAGCGAGTATAAGTAAAATATCATATGACATACTGAAAGTAATAAGAATACAAATAAATAAAATTAAAAAGTACTATTTTTGTTGTAACATTATTAATGTAATATATTTAACTTTAATATATTCACTATCCTTCGCTTCAAATTTATTACAAATCATTAAATTTTCAATGCGCTTATAGATTGTGTTTTGCATACAAAATTATTGTACATTAAAATTTTATTTTTATATTTACATATATTATATTAGCATAAGTTTGTAAAGGTAAAATGATAGTTAGCTCGAAAAAAAAAGAAAAAAAAAATCATAAGCATTATAATATCTTTAAGAAGTAGAAGAGAAATAAAATATAAGAAATTGAAGAAAATTGAAGAATTCAAAACTTAAAACGTCGCCTCTGTATTATATGAAATAGTGCACAGTATGTATATTGTATATTTTTAATAACACGACAATTACGTGACAAAACATTATTGACATATGGTTTTTCAACATGAATTTCATCGAATTGAAATTTACAAAGTAATTTCTATTATTTCATACATTGTGGTAATAAAGTTATACATTTAAAATTGAAGTGAAAGACATAATTTAATCGAAAGAAAATTCTATCGATACATTGTAATAATAACTAATCTCTTTCATACTAATAAGCGTAATCAAAATAACGCTCTTTGTCTATCGTCTGAATTACATAAATCAATCATTTTATCCACAAATCGCGTCTTTTACAATCTAAAATTTGCAGCTCATTATGTTTTTTTTTTTTTTCTAAAAATTAATATGGAGTCATAAATTCAACGTAATCATTATAATTCATACGCCCTTAAATGTATTTAATATTGATAGATTAACATCTCAACTATCTTTATTCTATTTTTCATCTCTACTGGCATTTATTTAATCAAATATTTTATGATAAAAAATTTTCTAAAAAGCATAATGTAATATTATTCACATAGTAGTATAATCTGAAATATTCGCAAAATTAGATAATATCGACAATTAACTCGAGTGTTATATAGTAATATTCAAACAATTATTCGTGAACATACGGAGCATAATACGAAATAAATAATTAAAATTCGCTGTTATTGCAAAAACAAAATGAATAATTACAATTGAAATAATATGTTGCATTGACTCTCATTTGATATCATTTTTTTTTTTTTTTTTTTTTGTACCTACAATGTCTTTCTGTAATTAATTATTTTCTCAAAATTTGCAATTCGAAGGAAATATTACGTACTTTTACAAATAAGAAATTTTAAAAATATCTTAAGTATAACGCAAATGTTCAACTAAATAATGATATTGAATAAATTTAATTATATTTTCTTAGAAGTTTTATTTTATGTCTAAAAAAGTATAAAAATACGACGCTTTTATTATTGTTAATTATTACATGTGATTGTCATAATTATATAATAGCAAGATAAAATTATATCATTAGCAATTTTATTAAAATATATAATTGTTTTTTTCACTCGATTAGTACATATTCATAGTAATAATAATAAATTCTCGATAAAAGTAAATAGAGTTGTATACGTTCGCTTTCTCTGGATGAAATTCGTCATTCATCTTAGGACATAGTCCTTCATTTATTCCTATGACAAAATTCATAAATAAAATTGGGCCCCCACTATCACCCTAAAAACACACACACACACACATGTAAATATATATATATATATATATATATATATATAATTAATTATAAAATGTTGCTTAATTTGATCAAATGGAAAAATATTTCAATTTACATTATAAGCCACTAATACTTACATCAGCTGATAATACATAGGGCTGCCCAATATTACACATATATTTTTCAGGAACTCGAGAATGAGAACCTTGTAATCTGAAGACTAATTCTTCACAATTAGAATTTGATATGACTCTTATTGTTGACGCTTGTAGAATATTCGAACTGCTGCCACTATTTCCCGTACCCCATCCAGCTATAACGGCGTTCGATCCAACATAAGCGGAATTTGGCTGATAGATAAGTATAGCTGGAATAACTTCATCGGGTACTCTTTGAATTAACTTAAAGAAAATTCGCTTATTACAATCCTGTCAACTGGATTATTTGTCAAATTACGTAATATTTAATTGAAATAAATATTTACTTTTGTGATTGCAATATCATTTAAATTATACTCTATCTGCTTTCCCATTGCAGATGCCCACCAATCGAATGTTAACCACCAAAATGGATAATATATTGTGGCCGTACGTAAGTCGGTTGATCCGACAAGCACTTGAAAAGAGGTCGATTCATCCTCGATGCAATGTTCAGCTGTTAATACATGATTTGGTGAAATAAGGACACCAGTACAAATAATAAGATCCTCTGGATCAGAATCTATTGGTATTCTATTGGCGATACATACGACAGAAGAAAATTTTGTCCCTTCTGCGGGTGCAATGCCGTGACCAATTAGTGCTTTTGTCGTTACGAAGTCATATTTGTTACCTATGTACATTGCATTGAATTATTTTATTTTATTTTAATACGATCATAATGCTGCTACAATTTTTTTTTTTTATTTTTCTGGTTTTTGTTTTTGTTTTTCTCATTTAAATAAATAGAAAATATTTGCATTACTTACTGAATATCATAAATTGAGCGAGTATAAGTAAAATATCATATGACATGCTGAAAAAAAATTATAAATTATTTTACTTAAATTTTACTACACAACATATTACTTTCAAGAAAATACCTTTACTCTAATGTTTGAGAAGTATTGTATAGTTAAATATACTCTGCGAAATAGTATTTCATATACCTGACTGCGTATTAAAATTTTATCATAAATCGTTAAAAAATATATCATAAATTTTATATATATATATATATATATATATATATATATATGTATTTTTTTTTCTATTTATATTATATATATGTATAATATCGGTTGAATTTATTGGATTCATTTATCTCTTGGTATAATATATACCATATATATTATGTAAATAGCTTAAAAATATTTTTAAACAATACTATCGTTAAAATCAGTGTTTTTATCTTGAAAACAATTCTACGTAAATGTAAAAATAATAGATTTTTTTTTTCATAGTACTATATTTTGTAATTGATTATAAATTGTCTCAAAATGATATCATTCATTCGTTATTGAATTTTATTTCCATAATATATTGCAAAATTAATTTCTTTGACATTTTTTTTGTAAATATGATGTTAAATCAATTTTGATAAATTTGAAATTCCTAATTAAAACCATTAATTTCATTAAAGAATACAGTTCTAGTGTTAGACATCATTAACAATAGAATTTAAAATCTCAATTATAACATAAATTATGTATCATTTCTATATAATAAAATAAAATATTACTATTTATAAAATAATATATAATACATATATTTACATTGAATATTAACAAATAATTGTACATTGTCAATAAATGTTTGAGTAAATTATTTTACATTTTCGTAGTACTCGGATAATATTATATATATATATATATATTGATTTATAGAATGTATATGTGTACTGCAAGTGTGTTAAAAGTTGAAGAAAAGCTTCGTTACATTCCGTTTAATCAATTCCATGACGTTTTTTTAGTGTACACGATGGAATGTAGAGCGCAACACTAAAATTAAACGGAAATTGTCATATGGAAAAGCAGACTAGAATAAAAATATAACAAGTGCTTTTAGGAAAACTCTTTCTATAATTTGCCTAATCGTTCGATTAGATAATTGATGATCTGTCTTCTTGACGAACGGGAGGGTTTTACATTGAAGGTTTTTCTCATAATCGGCGTTCAATTATAGCTTAAATGGGCAGAATAATAATTAAACCCGATTCTTTATTTAAATATGCAGTTCAACAAGTGATGGTTGTTCATCCTTCCCCCCCCCCCCCCCCCCCATCCCCAAATGGATTTCCAAAATCAATGCAAAATATTTTATTGCTACGTCTCCTTATATGAAAGGTACTCAATGGCGAATCATTGATGGACGATGAAATTTTCTAGGATCACAGTTGCACTTTACAATCTTAAATTCTTTAATAAATTAGCATAGCTTTATTTTGCTTATTATTTTCTATGGAAGTTATTGCTATGCTTATAGACTCGATCATCCTTTACATATCCAACATACACAGATCCAATGCATTTCTTGTAATTTCGATTATATTGAATATTCGCGCTCTTTCCTAGTTAAGATGGTCGGGTTAAACCTCTAGTTGAACCACACCACTACGTGCATTTCAGAGCATACGAATGATTTAATTGTATCGACTGCCACGGGTATCCTTATATCGAATATACCATCGTTTTATAATACTTAGCAAGACTGGTATGCGACACATCGAACGAGCAACGTTAATTTTAATGCGCGAGAGCAATAGAGTTTTATAGAATTACCGAAATGTTTATTTTTCATCATTATCATAATTCTCGGTGTGTAGATGGAAAGGCAGTAGTATTATCATTAAATCCATGTGATAATTGTATTTGAAAGAACTGATAACTCTTAGCTTGGACTGGATTTTAAAATAATTTGTATGACACTTATGCCGAAGTCGCCCTTTGATTATATAATATGGAAAAGCGGTAATTTAAGGATATTACTATGATAAAAATCGTTCTCATACATTGATATTTCATTATTCAATAAAAATTTTTATTTATGCAGGTATCATAATGTGTTATGTTATATAAGTAATGTCATATTTATATTATCATAACTTGATGGCATTCGCAAAAAAGCTGAAATGAATGAAAATCTAATTACTTATGAAATATAAATAATATAAACATCAATGGAAATATTCAAATCAAATAAATTTTGTTTATTAATAAAGCACAAAAAAGTGATTTTACTGATATTTGATGGATGAGAAAGACAATATTATAAAATAATGCAACCACTATCGTTATTTTGTTGTTCTAAAAATGACAATCATAAAATTTTGCATTTTTGTTCAAAGAGAGCTTTGTATTGGCTGTTTGCTACCCTAAGGCTTGTATTAGTTTTTGTTCCACAAACTGGATATATTCATCCAGATGAATTTTTTCAATTTATAGAAGTAGCTGCAGGTAAAAAAGTTAATATTTATATTTTATTTATATGTTCGTAGACAAATAAGTATTGATACATTTTTATTTATCGTAGGCGATAGTTTTGACATTGATGTTTATAAGCCTTGGGAATTCAATATAACATTTCCTGTGAGAAACTCCTTATTTCCACAATTATGTGTCAGAATTCCTTATTTTATACTTGCAGGTCTTAATCCTTATTGCGAATACTTTTTTGGCTTTTCATTAAAAACTCCATATTTCCTTATACTATTTCCACGTCTTATGATGACTATTTTGTCATTTACATCGGATTACTGTTTATACAAAATTTGCTTAATATTTCGTCGATCTTACATCGACAGATTAACAGTTTTTGCAAGTTCTTATGTTATGCTAATATATTCCACCCGTACATTTTCCAATGCCGTCGAAATGATATTAACATCCGTTTTATTATATCACGTTTCAAGATGCATGGAATTATCAAACAAGGTGAGCGCTGCACATAATTTTCGTTTAATTATCAAATATTAGTCGGCCAATTTGTCATTTGAGTTATAATTCAACAACATTACCAATCGTATTGACAATATGTTGACATTTAAAAATTTATTTTTCAGGTTGTACTTCAAAGCGATTATCTTGCAGATAAATACTATAGAGCAAAAACTGGTGTGGAACGTACAAAAATTTATAAACTTCGCATGTCCTTACCGCCACATTCTTTAAACGATTGTCTTCTACTCGCAACGATTACAGTATTTGGCATTTTTAATAGACCAACTTTCCTAGCTTTTTCATTCGCACCAATATTTTTTTGGCTTCATAGGGGACTCGGATCGAAAAGTGTTGGATTTTTAGATTTTCATATAAGAATGCTGACATTTATCTGCTTTGGAATTCCAACAGTTATTGGCTTAATTCTTTACGATAGCTTATATTTTGGATATTTAACAATGGCTGAAATTGGAAAATTTGAAATCAGTATGAATAATTTTGTTGTCACTCCGTTTAATTTTTTAAAATATAATTCAATCACCGACAATCTCAAGAATCATGGAATTCATCCCTGTTTCTTACACGTAGCTGTAAACGTGCCTCTACTTTTTAACGTACTTGGGATTATAGGGATTATTACTTTCGGAAGAATGCTAAATAGGTAGTACAATATTGTTGTTGTTGTTATTATTATTATTATTATTATTATTATTATTATTATTATTATTATTATTATTATGTAATTATAATAAGAATAATGAGTAAAGTTAATATTCGTAATAATTAAATTTCAGTGGCTTGAGAGGTAGATGGCTGGAATTACCTCGCATTCAAAATGTTGAAAGTTTCATGGTCGCATCTTTTATTATTCCTATCGCTATGCTATCAATTTTTCCTCACCAAGAGCCCAGATTTATCATACCTGTATTAATACCATTGGTTTTTTTATTCGCCCATTGGATCAAAAACTCTTCTAATAGTAATGTAGTGAACATTACAGAGAGAAGAAAAGCAAACGATAAGCCAAATAAAAATTACAAAATAGGATTGAAAGGTGTTTGGTACATTTCTAATATTATTTTAGCATTATTCTATGGCTTTGTACATCAAGGTGGCGTTTTACCTTTAACATTTCATTTATCTAGAGAATTGAAAGCAAAACCTTACCTTACACACATTCACTACTTTAGTTCATATATTTATCCACTGCCAACTGGACTTCTGCACTTGAGAAATACAAAAAAAACTTACATAAGTAATTCGGGTCATAAATACGTACTTACGAAAGATTTTTTTATACATGAATTTGGCTCGGAAAGTGTACGCTCCATATATAATAATATTACAGCGACTATTGAGAAATGTGAAGAGAACTTACTTGTTAAACAGATTCCTTACAGACTGTATTATGCCCTTCCATACAGCTTTTATAATGAATTTACGAGCTTAGTATTTTATAATGAAACGAAATCCTTGAAATTCAATTTAGTCAAGATAATTTATCCACATATTTCGATTGAAAAACTGCCACTATCTAACATACAATGGAATTATCTAAGCTTAAGGACATTAGAAAATAGTACATTTAATTTTGCTGAAAACTTGTCAAATAATATTATAAACTTTTTAAAACAATTTACCTTGGTACTTCTACAGATCGAACACATAAATAATAGGTAATTTTTAATGCGTTATATATAGTAAACGTGTTATAATATTTCCATTGCGCCTTGAATAAGGTTAAGCTAGTTGGATCCGTACACATTTTTATCAATTTTTGATAAAGCTTATTTATAATTATTAAATTACAAATGTATAATTTCGGCTTCATTATGAAAATATTTCGTTATGTTTTAAGTATAACTATAAAAATTTTACTCGCTTATCAATTTGATAAAAGTTTTGGTGATATTGATTTATTATATATCCAAAGTTAGGCATTAGTTAAGAAAAAAAATTATCGATTTTTTTTCTTTAAAAACTCAATTGTACATAATTATATTTGTAGCATTACAGATTAAATTAATTGATTAAATGCTCGAATTTACAATATAATTTATAATGTATATAACTTTTTTTTTAATATTAATTAAGTTTTTAAAAGTAGAGTTTATAGTTAGTTAAATTTCAATTCAAAGAGAATGGTTCCATCCTTTATTCAAGTTTACTTATTAAGAATTAATTGTAAAACTTGTAAATACATTAAGTTTGAATGTAAATAATATGATGGATTAAAATAGAAAAAGATTTATTTACTTTTGTAATTATAAACAAATCGTTTGTTTTCATATTGATTATCACGCACGTGATAGAGTGGATGCCCAATTTTTTATTATGATTATGTTACGAGAATTACTCGAATGAAGAAGTGCGAGTGCGATGATCAGTGAGCTTTGTTCGAAGGATTGAATATAACGAATAAACTTTAAGGTCTCTGATCACTCGGAAGGAAAGTTACTTTATCTGAAAATTAAAGCCGCGTATCTTTTTTCGAGTCTTCCTCTCTACTGTATGCTTATCGTTAATTATACATAATAAAAAATAACGTTAATTTTTGAGTAGCAAATTTACAAGTTAAAGTTTCTCTCAATGTTAGACCTCTTCGTAAAATTAATAAAATTATAAAAATAATAAAATAACAAAATAATATTTATTAAGTGCGCTTTGTGACATCACACAGTACTTGAGGACAAATCAAACAATCGATGAAATAGCTTATTACATTTGAGTCAAGAAGTATATAGATATCAGTAGATTTCATTTTAAGTTCTTTTTGCGAATGAAAAAGGAAATAATTCCCATAGAAATTTCGCCCGAATAAATCCTACGAGTATTTTTACAAATTTTTCTATTATAAAGATATCGTCATCGTTTATTATATACAACAATATATTGACTAATTAAATGCTTTAAATATTATAAACACATTGATTTAACCTTTACTTAATTTGATTTTTATATTTTAATATGTCACGTGAATTTCTATTCTTGTGACAAATTTTTTAAAATTTAATTACAGATAAGCTTGCATAAATTTGAAACAAATAAAATCAGCTTAATAGCGTCTGTAGAAAATCGCAATAATACTAATGCTTAATTAATTAGACTTTTATGGCATATCGGCATATCATTTTCAGTATAAAAGTTATTTATTAAAAAAAAAAAAAAAAAAACAAACAAACAAACAAAAGATACATATGCTCACAATTTTTAAATATATTATTTTTTGTTGCAAAATAATAGAGTGAAGATAATGCACAAAAAGTAATGATAAATATTAAACATTTAGTCTTTTATTGAATAATTCTCTATTTTAATTTAATTAATGCACACGTGGCTCGTAAAATTATAATTTTGTTACTTTTATATAAAAATAATTTTCATCAAATATAACGGCATAGTCATATTTTATATATTACTTATAAATACTTTAAATTTTACACAATCAATTTAACTGTTATTATTGAATTAACATTGATCGAGACTTCCAGTATCAGCAGAATATGTCCATGGTAAATCTGCATTGAATTTGCATTTATGGATGATATTACGTGCTGCATAAAGACGCTATAAACATATTTTAATAAATATTTTAAAAATATATAAATATTAAAGTATTTTTCACAAAATTATTTTCTAATTAATTAAATCTAAGAAAAAATTTAATTGGTAAAGGCTTACTACACAGAAGAAAAAAACAAGAAAAAAAAAAAAAAAAAAACATAAACACTAATTTATGTTAAAAAAAATTCTCATAACGAGCGATGTAAGTATAGAAATATTCACAAAAAGTGGAGATTGATATAAATAAAAATAAAAATAAAAATGAAAATAAAAATAAAAATAAGCATAAACATAAAAATTAAATTAAACGCTTACTGGATTGTCTATGTAAGCTTCACATTTATAACACCATACCGACACATCACTGAAACTAAGAGTCAATGGATGCTCGGTGGTCTGTTGATGCTCCAGTGCATGTTTATTAATACTTCGAGCGCAATGTACAGTATAGCATTGTAGGCAAATCCAATTTTCAATTGTGCTTGCGCATTCAAAACATGGATCATCGATATTTATACCGGTTTCTGGAACATCGAAGACCGAATCTAAATGTGGACAATCGTTAAGAGGTATGACAGCAAACATTTTCTCGTCGATCAGCGCCTAAGAAAACAATTGTTTTAACGACATTTCTGTATATAATTTATTTTAAAATAAATTTAAGTGTTTGAATTAGTTGTGAACCTGCAAATTATCCTGAAGATAGTGAAACAATGTTGTTTCGTTGGAGTCTTCGACTGAATTGGTCGTCGATTGGTTGGTCTTGCTACTCGACGCCACTGCCTTATTTGCTTTGCCATTAAAGTCGTCTTGCTTGCTTTCATCGTTATTAGCACACGTATCGATCTTCAAATTTTTTAGTTCCTCATCCAATTGTACATCCTGGTCTGTGAGCTCCTGTGGCTGCTCTTGATTCTCATCTTGCTTTTCTTCGTTTTTGGGCGTTTCGTTGATCGAGGAGTTTAGGAAACTCTCCTGTGAGCTCAACCGTGCGGTCGGCTTTGCTCGAGGCATCTTAGCTTTAGGAAGTACATTCTCCGCAGGCAACATCTTCTGGAACACCAGGTTCGGCCAGTAATTCTTCTGCGTTTCGAGAACATTCATTATAGTCGTGACGGCGCTTGGACTCGGAGCTTGATAAGGTTCCAATGCTACCAGTGGATCGCCCAAAAGCGCCTTGGTACACATAGTCATTGCATGAGCTATCGAATTCACATTGTAACCCCCTTCGAGGGTGAGAATTACGCGTCCGTTTGCTAACGACGACAACCAGTGCGTCATGTGACCGTACATTTCGGGACTGACTTTGCATCCTGCAAATTATACAGTTTCGGGCTTACGGATTACATTCAACACATATATATGTCATTCATAATATTATCCGAGGCTACTTCAATGATTTTTAGCAGATATTTGAGGTAAAAATCTTTTATTGATTTTATATTTTTATCGAAAAATTTATATTTAAAAAAAAAAAAAAAAAAAAAAAAAAAAAAAAAAAAAACCATTTAGGAATTATTATATACTTACTTTCATTTAGAAAAATATCTTTTAACACATCTACTTAAAATACATGAAATTTAAAAAAAAATTTTCTAAATATTAAACTCTCTATAAATATATTGAAAATAAACAAAAACAGCTATTCGTGAGAATTAATTATTAATTTATTCATTTGAGTAATTAAACCTCCTTGTTATTTCGATAATAATTAATGTTGAACTTCTTATTAAGGCATATTACTAAATGCTATCACAAAATTATAATTTAAGAAAAGAAATTTGGATTGAAAATTAATGATTAAGCCGGTTATAAATTTGTAGCGAAATTTCTAAATTTTTTAATCGCTTCATTACTCACCTCCCAAAGGATCTGCGATGCATGCGTCGAAGCCTGCTGAGACTAGAATTAACTCAGGATTATATTGGTAAGCTATTGGCATTACTATTTGTTGAAAAGCAGCAACATAATCAGGATCGCCCATTCCTTTCTAAATATGCAGTTTAATTTAAAAAAAAAAAAACATTAAAAAATATATAATGAATATGAAAGGTTGGAGTAAATAATACATGCCTTATTCCAGGGAATGTTTACATTAAATCCTATCCCTTCGTCTACTCCTACTTCTGAATAATTAGCTGATTTAGAATGAGGAAAGAAGTTCCCATTGTCATAACGATGTATCGATATATATAAAATTGTTGGATCATCTTCTAAAATAGACTGGGTACCATTTCCATGATGGATATCCCAATCGACTATTAAAACTCTAAAACAGAATGAGAAAGTATAGGATAAACAAAATCTATACTACTTTATACGTAGCATAGTAATTTATTGTATCAATATCATATTTGTATCTAAATTTTAGGAATATTATCAAGTAAGTATATCAAGTATGCAGGTAAATTTTTTCCTATTTTCCAATGTTTCAATTTAAATATTCAGTTTTAACAGCAATTCTATAAAATAAAAATTGACAAATACAAGATGAAAAAATGAATTATAAGTAACTTTTCCAACTGATGGAAAATTACATATGCAAATGATGCAACATAATTTAACATAATTTCGATACAGAAAAATAATTTACAGACACTTGTAAATTAAAATTAAACACAGATTATATATATATATATATATATATATATATATATATTTTTTTTTCTTTATAGAGTATTTTGCAATTATAAAAATGTTTACCTTTTTAATTTATAAAATTTAACGGCATATTTAGCAGCGATAGCAATATTATTAAAAATGCAAAATCCACATGCTTTGTCATTTGTAGCGTGGTGCCCGGGAGGCCTCGCAATCGCTATACCAGCTTGACTCTCTCTAGTTAAAACATTATCGACTAATTGCAACAATGAACCAGCTGACACTCTAGCACTAGTCCAAGTTTCAGGATGTAAATAAACAGAATTAAAATAGGAAGATAGATGTTCCAAATCTTGTATAGTGGCTTGATGTGTACTTTTAATACTATTGACATAATCTAGGTTATGCGCCAACAAAATTTCCTGCTCACTTGCAAATCTCCCCTTAAGCAATATTTATTTTTAATTAATTAAAATTTTGCATTTAGGGAAGAACATTTTTTAATTTAAGAGCAAAATCTAACCTCCGTAATATAACATCTTTTAAGTAAATTGTAATCCTTGTGCTTAGCAAAAATACTCGATATTCTACTTGGTTTTTCAGGGTGACAATCATCTTCTATATTACAATGTTTTAGCATTCTCTCATCATAAACAATACATACCCTATTTAAAGCTTTAGTAAGATTTGTACCTAAAAGTAAGATGAAATATTTATATATATGTGTGTTTGTGTGTTTATATATACTGGTTTCCAATTACAATGTTTAATATCTTTTCTTTACTAATTATAAATAAAGTTGAAGGAACTTATTAAAATAAAAGAAATTTTACTTCGTATAATAGAATCAAGTTCAAAATTTATCGACGTTATTTCTTCTTTATTTTGAATTGGATAGCAGTTTCGAGTTTCATAACTATTTGGAGTTGTTATTGGACCACTGTTGAAAATATTTTTCTTAATTTTACGTTATTAATAATATTATCTTATAGAAAATATGTATATCATACTTAAAAGAAACGGTAGGTAAGTGCGAATTATTACTAGCTTGAAATGTTAAATTATAAGAAATTTGGTATTGAAAGCATTTCCAATATGGTTTATGTGAATAAATAACATTTAATATAGTATCTTGAATGCTAAAAAAGAAAGACGAATTACAGTCTAAACTAAAAATACACTCTATTAGATTACTATTAAAAACAAACCTTTCACAAGGTGGTTCTAAGTCATCTAACATTGGGCAAGGATCTCCTAAAAGAGTTCTTAGAGTAAGCGCTGCACCTTCAGCCAATGATTTTAAACAATAGCCACCCTAAAAATATTAATATATTAAGTATTTAATATATTAATAATTGCACATTCAAATACTGAAACTTACCTCTAAAATTACTGCAACTTTTCCAGATGCAAGACAGAGCAGCGATGACAATAAATGAGCATAACAGGCAGGAGTTACCCTCATCAAACCCTACAATTTAAAAAAAATATTTTAAAAAAAATATTTTTTTTGATATATATATATATATATATATATATATATATATATATATATATACATATCGTTATTGATAAAGCAATTACGTTCATATAGGCCCATTTTTAATAAAAGATTATTTCTATTCGCATAAAATAATAGTTTAAAATAATAATAATAGCGTATTTCAAATGTATTTATATTCCTTCAAACTAAAAAAAAAAAAAGAAAAAAAAATACTTCGGTGTTAAAAACGACGTGTTTTTAAATAGAAATTTGGTTTTTTAGTGTACAGTAATGTATGCAGTATATACTAAGCCCACAACCTTTCGAATAAATTTTATTTCATATTTTAAGGTTTGTACAAAAATAGAGATTAACTATATCTTAATGCACAACCTTTTCATCTCCCAATGCTGAATCAAATCCAGAAGAAACAAGAATAAGATCAGGAGAAAACTAGGGTAAAAAAAAAAAACTGTATTAATAAAAATATGTTTAATTACCTCTGGACAACCAAGAGCTGCATCATAACCAGCAGAGACTATGATGAGATCAGGTTGAAACTAAAAATGTTCGTTAATTTTTTTGAATTTAAATCACTTTTATTTCAATATCATTTTAGAGCAATTTACGTACTTCATAAGCCATTGGAAGTAAAACTTGTTGAAATATTGCAATATAATCAGCATTGGTCATGCCAATTTTATTCAGGGGTACATTAAAATTAAATCCTTCTCCACATTTTTCTCCCACGTAGTGATAATCCGATTCTCTTAAATTTGGCCAAAATTCTCCATTTTCGTAACGATGAATAGAAAAATATACAACTCTAAAAGTCAAATAATAATACATAACAACAATGAAAAACAAATATGATAAAAAATAATGGAATTCCTATTAGAGAAATATTTCTTAATCCAAATGTGTACCTTGGATCGTTATAAAACATTCTCTGAGTACCTTGTCCATGATGGACATCCCAATCTACTATGAGAATCCTTTTTGATAAATTATTTCTTAATGCTACCTCAGCTGCCAAGGCCACATTATTAAAAAAACAATAACCACAATATTCTGCTTTCATTGCGTGATGACCAGGTGGCCTGGAAATAAATCAATATTTTATATCCGCCATTTAGTCTAATTAACCAAGTATTTCATGTTTATAGATAAATTTAAGTGTTACATTTAATTAAGACTATAAATTATATACTATATAAGTTTATTTGACTAATATTTAATTGACAATATACTATATAGAAGACTAGATAATATATAATTACGTCATACTTTTTCGTAAAATTATAATTTAAGAAATTTAAATGATAAATAAATTTATATTAAAATCTTCAAAATGATGGAACATTTTGTAAGCATGGCAATTAAATCGAATGATTTAGCACATTAAGTTATCGTAGTGATCGATATCAAGTGGGTTATATTTCAAATTATCACTTTCTAAGTTCAATTTAAATTTATATTTATGTTCGTTATTGAAATTGCATACATAAGTGGATATAGATGATTATAAGTAAATTACCTTATTATTGCCATACCATTTTGAATATTACCTTTACAAATATTTTCAACTAAATTAATTGTCGATCCTGCAGCTAGTAAAGATATTCGATATGTAGCCTAGGAGAATAATAAGAAATTTGTTATAATTCATATGATCTACAATAATATGGTTGAAATAATGTCTACATTTTTTGAAAAATTTCATAACAAACAACTTACAGGATGAAAAAAAATTGCATCATACTCTGACGAAAGTTCTTCCATTTTTGAAATATTTTCACAATCTTTGGTAGACTTTAATAATTCTATATGTGCTGGAGTATGTTTTAAAAGTAGTTCCTGATATTCGGCCAATCGAGATGCAATATACTTGCAGCGTTTAATTAATCCAAGTTCTTCGCACCTTTTAAAAACTCTGGTATATCTATCTGGACGCTCTGGATAATTATTATCCCAAGAACATTGGTGCTCTGCCATTGAGTGATCGTACGTAATACCTGTCTGTTTACGAATTACTTCTCTAGCATCGATAGATTTTTGATAAATATCTTTTATAACGGTGGAACCAATTTTCTTCTCCAATACCGTATTCTGTTGAGCTTCTCGTTTAGCAGCCAAGATAGCTGCGGATGGTTTTGCCTATAAAATGATATCGAAATTTCACATATCCTTCTAAAGTAAAATATTTATTATTGCTTACATAATGAAGGATGCGATAAGATAAATCAAAAGATAAGATAAAATGTCGATAAGTATTTCCATCATTGTACAAATAAACTGAAAAAATTATAATTCATTTAAGCGTACTTGTATCACGCTTGCATTATGTTCCATTTAATATTATGTTATTATTATATTAAAATTCAAGATATTACAATTGTAAATAATTTTAAAAGACTATAAGCATTTTTCTATATAAGAACACTAAACTCACGAATAAAAATTGGAAACACCTATCACAATATGTTAATAAAAAGTTAATGAATTAGTAATATAAAACTAAAATAGAAATATTACCTAATAAAAAATAATAAATGATAAACATAAGTGATAAACTGTAATAAATAATGTAATAACTTATTTAAGTAATATGCGTTTATTATTATGATTTGTACTTTAAATGGTACTAATGATTTTATTCATTATTTTTAAATATAATCAAATTATATCATTTACTGTATTGTAGTTAAGTACATATTTTTCAAATACTTATTTGCGTTTGTATTTCACAATGAATAAAATAAGTAAAACAAAAGAAAAATAATATATATATTATTTGACACTATACACTATACAAAAATTAAAACTATTTTGTTATTAAGTCATACTAGTCATGCCATACCAATACAAAATTATATAAATATAAGAAAAGAAGACATTACATTATCTAATTTTCTTGGCTTATCGTTGATATTTTTGGTTTCATTATTTGATGCCTCCCTCGACATAGTTGTCGATTCATTGCCTAGAACTTTAGCGGAGTTCATTTGCCTAGAACTTTCAATTTCATTTAACAATTGAATTTCACTCTCTGCCAATTGTCGGGCAGCACCAATAAGATCGGTATCTTTATTTATGTCTGACTATTAAAAAAAAAAATATCAGTTACATAGACCTCAAAGAAATAAAATAAAATAAATAACATATAAATAAAATAACATTAATAGCAATGGAAGAAAGTCAATTTTACGGAAAATAAAACAAAGTTAAGGATTTATAGATGTAAAGCTAGCGATTAAAAAGCAATATATAAGGAAGACATTTATTGATAATCGAAAAATAAAGTATAACCATATTTAGTAACGAGTGTAATATGCTAATGAATATCCCTACTCCTTTTTTTACAATACTATGTAAAATTAATTTATCGTGCCCAAATCCCAAACATTCAGAAATCATATTTCAAAAATCTTACATTTATACAAGCTATTATATTTATTATATTTTTTTATTTTACAAAATAAATATAGACAAAATGCATTTAGTTTCAATAATTATTTGTATTATTTTTTATTCATACATAAATATATAAAATGCATATTTAATGAAATTAAAATAACAAAATTTTGTTGATTATAATTTCATTGTATAATACTTTTTTTTAAATTACATTTTAATATATAATTATCAATATAAATTTATGAAAACTGAAGATAAAATTAAATCGAATGCTTTGGGTACGTAATTGTGTATTGAAAAAAATGATTATGTATTTCTCTATTTTTGTGACGAAAAAAAATATAATTTATAATTACCATTTTTTTAAATGTTTCGATTTGTCCTTCCAATTAAAAAATACGAAGTGTAATCTTTCAAAAGATGTATACCATTGAAAAAGTGCAAATATCGTTTAAAACAAATTTTTTTATCAATTCTTCTTATCATAATACATACATTTTTTCAATTTATTCATATAACACCATCACTTTTAATTTTTTTTTTTCACCTTCTTTTTCTTTTTTTTTAATTAAGAATTTAGCTGTAAATTCATTCTTTTGTAGATAAATAAAACATTTAATTTTATTCACATAAACGACATAAACTCAATATTGAATAGCCTGAACATATGCACGACAAAAACATTTTCATTAAGGCATATTCTACAATTAAATTGAACTACATTTGAACATTTTATTTGTACAATCTTTGCATGCCTGATTGAGCTCGGTACAATTACTTGAAATATTCGTATTTGACAGAATTTATTGAATTTTAATGGGATAATGATTTTTAAAATAAAAAAATTAAATTATCAAGAATCATAAGCCATAGCAGAGATTATACACATAAATGAAATAGGCAAATGCGTAATCAAATATAATAATTAGCTCCTGTAGTGCGCAATACAATTACACATTTAATATGTTTTAATTGGCTGGTGTATTTCTATTTTGAACACGACATTGTTAATTAAATATGTAATTACACTTTTGGAGTTTGTAATGATATAAAAGCAATCGATTTTCATATCTTCCATTACCTTAGATCATTGCGTATCACTGCTAAACTTTGTACTAAATACGATCTAAGCCATATTATATGTAGCTTTGTCTTGTTGATTTGTAATTGCCATTTTATTTGTTCTCCATCCCATATTTGCTAAAGATAAAAGACATTTTTCAAGATGTAACCTACGAGAATTTCTGATAAACAACTTTTAGTAAAAATAAAAATAACTTTAAGCTCTCTTATTAACAATATCTTGTGCCACTTGTTATATGCATACCAGCGCACATGCAGATTTATAAAATTCAGTGCCGAATTAGCGTCTAGTATAAAAAAATCTTCAATTAAAATATAAAAGATCTATTCTAGTCCTGCATAGTTGTTCAAATATTCAGATAATCGGCTCCTTCTATTTTTATTCATTAATATGTCTAAGATGTTGATAAGAAGCCGCAGCTGGTGATAAACAAGCATTGCGAAGGGGAAACGCGCGAGATTTCAATTACATTTATAAAACATTCCGATTGAAAGTAGATTGTCGTGTAATAAAATAAGGCGATTCGAAAAATTGATCACATAAAGAATAAAGTATGGCCATTATAATGTAAGGATGATAAGATAGAAGGAAAGTCAAGAGTGTAACAAAACAGTTTCTGTTACTAGTTGCATAAACTGAGATCCCTTAAAATTAATATTAATTTGGCGCTTCATAAGTTATTTGTTAAAAAACAATTTAACCAAATAAATAAATGAGATAAAATAAAAAAACAAAAAAAAATATTAGAATTTTTTAAATACTTTTGGCTACAAAAATTTTGAAAAATGAATTTTATTTAACAATTTCTTTCTTTCTTTTAGTTTGCTCTTAAAAGATAATTAATTTAATATGTTATGATTACCATTTAAATTTTAGTTTTTAACTTACATAAAAGTCCCTCTATGAATTAATATAATATAATTATGCAACACATAAAGACTCGTCATTTATTAAATTTATTATATGATTTATATAAATCCTTAGTTCTGGATTCAGGATCAATTAATCGATTGATCCTGGCCACATTTTCATAAACATACACATTCAAATATCGCGCTGTTCATTGACACTCCATTGTTCTGGTTCCGGTTCCCACTACTTCAATGGGGAGCTTATACCTGATGACGATCGGCATCCCCATAAAAGAACCAATCAAATATCTCTCTCTGATATTCGTTATGATTTAAAATTTGTACAAATGTATGTCATTTGTATGCAAAGAAAAGGGAGATTCGAGAGAGAAGAAACCATAAAGAAAAAATAGATTGGCAGCCTAAGGATAGATAAAGATAAGGCTATTTTGGTAATAACGTTTGGGCATTTAAAAAGTATTTCTTTGTAGTTTGCTTCGTGTGATCAGCGTTTCTCTATGTAAAGTTTGGATTTCGACAATTAATTCGACGTTAATTATTCATTTTTCAAGGTAAACTTATAACAATAAACCACAAAAACATGTAGCTCAGTTTTTCAACATTTCTAAATTTCATATAAATATAAAAAATTTTATGACAATATACGTCTATTAAACCATTCAATTTTTTACATGTTTAAAGTTATAATGCGATTGCTGTTGAAAAATTGTTTTGTTGATAGCAAATTTTTGTGTTATAATAGAATCACTTGTCACCCGATGAGCGAATGTAATAAATATTTTTAAGAATTATAATTTTCATATATCTTAAGTATTGTTTTATTAATTATTATTTAAAACTGCCAGTTGATTAGTGAAGTTTTACATATCGAAAATTATTAAAGCATCATGTTTATATGTACTATTATTAATGATTATAAACTATTATTAATAATTAATTATTATAAAATGTAGGGATTAAATTAAAAATAACTTATATTTCGATTTAATACACTTTAAAGTAAATGTTATTTATGAAGGAAAATATTTTTTAATATATACGACCAAATTATACTTCCTTGCAATTCAAGTATCGTCGATCCAAGATCATGCAATCTTTATTTATAATTGTGAGAAAAACAATTAAATCTTTCAGATCTTAAATCATTAACATAATGATGAAAGGAAAAGAAAATAATCTACAGAGTAACCGAAACCAATTGAAACCAGATGAATCAAAACTCTCAAAAAAGTCTAACGAACTTATGCCTCCGCCAAAATTACCAATGTCAAAGAATTTAGAAACAGGAAATGTACAAAAATCAGAAAATTGTAACGAGACAAAAGAAACTATTAAACCGTCCGAAACTCAAACAGAAAATAAAAATAATAAAAAAAAACAATGGGCCATAACAGACTTTGATATTGGTCGACCATTGGGTAAAGGAAAGTTTGGAAATGTATATTTGGCAAGAGAAAAAAGATCAAAATTTATTATAGCAATGAAAGTATTATTTAAGGATCAAATTATTAAAGCAGATATTGAACATCAAGTGCGAAGAGAAATTGAAATACAAACTCACTTAAGGTAATAAGTCTTTAGTTTTATTTGGACATTTGAACGAATTGAATAATTAATTAATAATGTCAAAATTTATTAATACCATTAGTTATTACAATTTTAAAAATGTCTTATATTATTTCTCAGACATCCAAATATATTAAGAATGTATGGATACTTTCATGATGACACAAGGGTTTATTTAATCTTAGAATATGCTCCAAAAGGTGAATTATTCAAAGCATTAAATGCTCAACCAAACAAACGTTTTGAAGAAATAAGGTAAATTTCTGAAGAAAATTTTTATAAATTTAATTTTTGAATATTCATTAATTGACTATTAACGACGAAGGCTTCTAAATAATTTTATATTTGTTTGACTATTATAAATTTTTAAGAATTATATATATATATATATATATATATATATATATATATATATATATATATATGTAGACAATTAAATTTACTCTTGTCTTTTGAAATCAGTGCAATCATTAAAAATATATATCATTAACACTGTACACTGTACCTAATTTTTCAACTGCATTAAAATGAATAATTAATTGTAATTACTTGATAATAATTTAAAGTAAATATTACATATATATATCTAATATATATGTATATGTGAGAAATGACTTTTTTTCATTATAATGCAATACGTTAATTTGTAGAGCAGCGACATATATCTCTCAGTTAGCTGATGCATTAAAGTATTGTCATGCTAGAAAAGTAATTCATAGAGACATAAAACCAGAAAATTTACTTCTTGGCGTGAATGGCGAATTAAAAATGGCTGATTTTGGTTGGTCAGTTCATGCACCTTCCTCGCGTAGAGAAACACTATGTGGAACTCTAGATTATTTACCACCCGAAATGGTTAATGGTCATACACATGATCATACTGTTGATTTATGGGGGGTTGGTGTGTTAACTTATGAATTTCTTGTTGGACAACCACCATTTTTGGCTAAGACTTATGACGAAACTTATAATAAGATTAGGAAAGCAAACTATAGGTGTCCTGATTATCTTAGCGATGGAGCGAAGGATCTTATTTCTAAGGTATGTTTGAAAAATCTTCATTTCTACCAATGCTAAGAAATAAAAATTAATTACTCGATTATATTTTATTGTAGTTAATTATTGTTAAACCAGAGTATAGAATGAGCTTAGATGGTATATTACATCATACTTGGATTGTTAAAAATCGCACAACAGAACCAACGCAAGATGGTGTAAAAAGAACTTGAATGATGTTGAAAAATTTTGAATAATTTCAAGTCATATTAATAGAATAAGATTAGTGTATTTAATCAATGAAAAGTTCTGAAAGTACAAGCCTTTTCTAATTTTTAAGCTATACTAGTTAAAAAAGTTTAGGGAAAAAAAATCACAAAACAATCGAAAATTTTATACAGACGCTTAGCTTTCAGTGACTTGTTGTTACGTGTTTACATTAATACAACAAGTATGAAAATAAATGTAAAGATATTTATTGTTTAAATGACCAATCATTTATTTAATTAAAAAGAATTTTATACTTAAAAATAAAATACATTTTTATACCATAATAATAAATAATATTTCAATTTTACCTCTTATTGTTTTTATAAATAATCGTTATGATATATAATATGATTTTACTTATTAAACGAGGACATTTGTATTAATAGTCGAGGAAATGTTAATAATTAAAAATGGTGAGAGAATTTGCATTAATTAATTATTAATTGATTACGTTAATTTTGCCACACACACACACACACACACACACACACACACACACACACACACACACAAAGTGGTGTTATTTATCAATTTCTTTTATACAAAAATAAAATTAATTCTTTATTCGATTATTAAATCGTATTATACACGTTTATAATTTTTTTTTTTTTTTTTTTACTGTACTGTACACGTTCATAATTTCTACTCCTAAATAATGAATTATACTATTAAAATATAATTTAAAGTAAATTGGAATTTTAATTATTAGAGAATAATACGAAGCTGCATTTTGTCTTAGCAATTTACAATGGCAAATTTTATCTTCTTTGAATTTTCTTTTCATGGATAATTTATTTCGTTTATATCAATGGATATTAAATTTGCCTACAAAGCTCATGCTAACTCCATAGCACACGCATCTGCATGAAAATTTCGAGTTACGCTTAATTAACCGTCATTGCTATTTTCGAGCTATTTCATCAATCTATTTGTTACGGTTAAAGTACAATAGTTCATAGATCAGTTAATTAATTATCAACGTTTTATTACCGTATTCGACTTGTTTGCTTCTCTTTTCAAAGATATGCACATTTAAAAAAAAAAAAAAAAAAAAACTCGACTTCTCCATGTTTTCAAAACGAGAACAGAATTAGGCAAAAATTCTTGTGCATGTAGATTAATCCAGTGACGAAAGGAATCGATTTTGTTCCATAACAAGTAGAAATATCGAAAATGTTATTCATATATCCGTCTATTAAGCAATTAAAAGTGTTTAAAAGACAAGTCATTAAGGGCATGTTATTCGATATATTAAATACACTATCACAATATTTTCTCCTTAGAAAATTAAAAATAAATGTCGCATTAATAAATAAACTACATATTTATAATTAAATATAGCCTTTATTTTGAGAACCCTTGCATAGATATTATAAATTCCTTCGATTGAAATTGAAAAATTTAATATCAACGTATAGATTATTTTACAGTTCTTTGAAAGAGATATAAAATTTACCCAATTCTTATTGTAATATAATTCAGTTCTTTGTAGTTAAATTATCAAATATTTATTTATATTTTCTTTAATTTTTATAAAATAGACGTTTAAAAATTATGTATAAATATAGTATTTCCGTAAAGTACTATAAAAAATTCATTTATTAAGTTTAGCACTGACAAAGTTTTTTATATGTATATTTTTAAAATTCTTATGTAAAAATTTCGTTTCCAAATTTTTTTCTTTCTTTCATTTTGTTTTTTTTTGTTGTTGTTTTTTTGTTGTTGTTTTTTTTTTTGTTTTTGTTTTTTTTGTTTCTTTTTTTTTTGTTTGTTTTTTTTTTCCTTTTATAGTACAACAAAACCGTTGCCTTGATTTTGTTTTTTAGCGATATTGAAAACCGAAAGGAGATAAGTACGAGAATCCGAGTTGATGTAAAAGACCAAACCATTATCAAGGTGCGACATAGAACTGGAATCGTGTATTTCGGACTGTACATCACTGTTTGTAGAAACACTAGCAATGCCCGTACTACTCGTACGTAGAAATTCCGCTACCCTTGCCCTCATTTCTTGATCCATCTGCAATTCACAATTATCAATAATGGTATTTTATATTAAACCGTCGGCGATGAGAACAAAATATTTGTCGATATTTCTCACACGCGTTACTTGTTATTTATTAATTAAAAGCTTCGCTTTCATCAGCTAGCCATAATAAAAGTTATAATAAGGTCTTTTGATGCGTTATTACTTATTAAAAATGCAAAACAAATACCTTTACCTCGAATTGCTCAACCGGTGAGACTTTTCGAAAGCGTTGGGGCGGTGAAGCAGTTGAGCAATAAAGTCTAAACATAGTGGGCTCGGTTGGATAAACCGCAGCTATCAAATCCTTAAGTGGAAATATTTTTTCAACGCTATCCTCGGTAACATTTACGATCAGCAGTGCTTGTCTAGTGAGAACGAGGGTAACCGGCCTATTACTGTCTTGAATGTGATCGGCATTAGACACATGAAGAATACTATCGTGGCTTTTCCTTAGCAGTGGCATTAATCTCCAAGCATATCTTAGCGACGTAGTACCAGATCCATTTGAATATTGCACAACTGGTCGTTGACGGGGCTAAAGTAGTTAATTTCTTTTCTTTCAATTTTGTCATTATCAAATTTTCTACGATTAATTAGGAAATAATAATATTAATAATGCACCATACTATCTATCTATGAGATCTTTCTAGCAATATAACTTTGAGCTTAATGCAATGATGAAATAGTCATTGTAACCATAGTAATCGACCAAATGCGCGATAAAAAAATTAAAAAATTGCAATTACAATTTGTGCTGTCGCGTTAATGTTTAAGTGGGAAAACTTGTCATATCTTAACTAAAACAAAAAAAAAAAACAAAAAAAAAACAAAAAAAAAACAAAAAAAAAACATTAGAATAGCTGCTTGTCTAGCTTAAACATAAAACATTACATAATAATACGAATTTTGATCAGCAGCTGTCTTCGTTACACATCGAGGTGAGCGTTTCACGTGTGAAAATGCGTACCGTCGGTAAGGAGTTCCAACCAGTGCCCTGCAGCAAACCTTGACCTGTTAGGGCCACCAATTCGGCAGCACCGCTCAGAGGTTTCGTTACGACACCAACGAGCCCAAGGCCAACCCCAGCAACGAGTCCCCTCGTTGACGTTTCACCTGACCAGACTTGCTGTAGAGGATGATGCGCGAGTCCGGCCACCGCGGCTGTTGCACGCCGTGCACAAGCAATGCGAAATTAATTTTATTCCTTTCAAGTTTAAGGCAATTAATTTCAATTTTTATGATATTTGATAGATGAATTTTACATTTATACGAGTAGGCAGACAGAGATATAGAAAACGGCGAATTTCTACAATAGTCCATTTCATTAAAATATTAAAATCGTGCTTAATTTTCCACAAAAAAAAAAAAAAAAAAAAAAAAAAATCCCTTTACATTTGTTTTTACCATAATTATGTGTTACGGATAAAAGCTTAATAATTTATGCCAACATGCATATATGTATGAAAACTCCATACCAAGTAGGTTCATGCCTAAACCGGTTAATCCTTGATAAAGTCCTTGTGCTAAACCTTGAGGTCGCATCCTTCGAAATTCTTCTTGACGTTGCAAATGTTCATCGTCTAATGTCAATCGATCTAAATTCCGGGCTACACTCGACGCAAGTTTTGTCACTGAATTTACAGTACCTTTAAAAGCACACGCAAAGCTTACAAATTCAGCAAATGGTTGTTTGCCAAATTAAAAATTCTTTCGATCGGCTTGTTATTAATATATTAATTCGAACAATCTATTTTGTTGCATAAATATTTATACACGGATTTTAATATTTGCAGAGTATAATGCATTATGTATTTAAGTAAATCGTGTCTTTCACATGATAAACAATATAATTCTTATATCATATATTATATATATATATATATATATATATATATATATATATATATATATATATAAATATTAATTGCCGTAAAAATTTTAGTTTCTTCAAAGTTAGTCTTATAAGTAATCAAAATAGGTCTCGCGTTTTTTTTCAATAGACAAATCAGGCAAAATCAAGACTCACCTGCTGTAATATGCTTAACTAGACTTGCCGAGCCATGTGTGATGCCGACAATAAAGCCCCAAGGTCCTTGCAAAAGTCCTTGAAACGGCATTGAAATAAAATCTTTCAGTCCATAACCTAGTGCCTGCGCTAATCCTCCAGGAGATCCTAAAATGTCTAAAGAGCCAACAACCCATCCTACGAGAATAAAAATGACAGGATATTAAGAGCAATTATTATAAATCTCTGCGATATTATGGATAACTGATTAGCCTACCTATTCCAAAAATCGCACTAGATAAATAATGCATAGCAAGAGCATTACCGAGTCGATAAGGAGTTGCTATTAAATTTTTCCTATCAAACACCTCGAAGTATAATGGCGAATGATCAAAGGCCACGTACAAATGAACAGAAGTATGTACACTTAGCATAATCGATAACGAGTCGATTACGAAATTTTGAAGCCTTAATGGATTACTTAACGTTCTGCCATCGATTAATATATAATCCGGTACATAAATATTATTTGTATTTGACAATTGTACAAATTTTTCTTTGAAATCTGACGTTGAAACTATAAAACAAGGAGGTAATACCGATGCAGCATAATCCATAAGTAAAGTAATATAACTTCCTTCGATGTATGCGTGCAATGGTGCTATCTTAACCGTAACATCTTTACAAGCTGAAATTTTTATAATCGCAATATATTAGAGCCACCTTGGCATTATAAGTGAATTTAATATAACGACGAAGCTTATTATTTAAAAGATTAAAGTACCTCTTTCGTCACAATTATGCTCCCACATTAAATCGACATTTATCAAAGAATTTTCAATCACGTTCATAACATTTTTCCTAAGATTATTACTCAAGTAAATGGCCGAATCTTTTTTAACAAATGGGTTTTGACTTATTAATACTACGGGAAAATCAAAGCCACCGTGCTCAAACATTTGATTGTCTAATTGTAAATCGCCAAAGTATAGGCTCAATTTTGAACGAGTTTTTTTATAATCTATCATTAATATTGTATCGATCATACATAGGCTTGCGACTTCAATTCTTTGACCATTATCATTTATATCTTTTGTTATAACGATTGAAAATCCATGCAAATGAATCGTGGCTGAGCTATTTTTAATTTTATTTTGTTTATTCGCAGTCGTTAAATCTGCGTTCGCTATCTGCATTATGTTTAATTGCTTTGAACTATTCCATGTACATGTGTAAAGAAGAGATAAATCGGTTTCCAAAGCATCGTCCTGAGCTGAAAAAAATGTTGTAGTTGACGTCGAACGCCTTTACCCTAAAAAAAAAAAAAAAAAAAAAAAATATACATATATATATATATATATATATTTATAAACACTGTTTATCATAATTATTATTCTCTTTAATATACATATTATGTTTTAGAAGGAAAAAAAAAAAAAACCTGTAGATTTAAAGGTATCCGTTCTTCTTCGAGATAAGAAGAAATATTATCTATAGAAGTATCGCTTCCTTCTCGATGAAAAGTAGACTTTTTTTCAATTTTATTTCTTATCTCCTGAGCTGATAGCTCTAACTATTTAAATAAACAAATAAATACTTTTATTCTAAAGAGAAAGTATTTTTTGCTCTATTCGTTAAAATATAATTAAATAAAAATACCTGCGAAATTGGACTAAAACAAATAAAAGTTGTATAGCATCGTGTTTGTATTATCAGTTTAACATCTCCATAATACGGCAGTCGTATAAATTGTTCCATTGAGCATGTTGATAAATTTATACATTTAGACCACTGTAAATCTTTTTTACCTAAAATATTATTATTATTATTATTATTATTATTATTATTGTTGTTGTTGTTGTTGTTGTTGATGCTGTTTTTATCGTTATATGTATTAAGCACGTTGTGCTTGTTCGCATTAGAAATAAAAATATATAATTACCAAAATTTATTTTATCTTTTGATTCATCTGCCATTGGAATAGCCGATACTATCATATAAGCGGATGAATCACTAATCGGCAGATCTGGTAATTTACTTCCAATAGTTGGCATTGAATAATGACACGAACTTTTGCTTTCAATTTGACATTTCCATGAAAAATGTTGTGCATCTAAGATCGCATCATCTGCAATATATTTAAGGATTCAAATTTCAATCGAGTCTTTAGTTATGAAAATAAATCAAAATACCTGTTTCTTTGTTTGCTTCGCTAATTACAATTTTGAATGGACACATGTTCTCAATGAACAATTGAGGATGTTTATCATTGTGAATCATTATATATACTATACTTTTGTCTTCCTGAGTTGTTACTATAAGAGGTACAGTATCTGTGACGCTCTTTAAAGAAATGTTACAAAAAAAAAAAAAAAAAAAAAAAAAAAATTAACATAATACATAATTTTAAAAAATATACGTATATAAAAGAAGATAGATAACATAATTCACCGGAATAGCAATGGATCTTCTGCTAAGACCCTGATCTACGCGAATTGGGCATGACCATGATTTATTATCAAGCCCTAGTGCGACGTATAAAATAAATGATTCATTTATTTTTTCAAATAAAGTATACCACTGTACAATTGGAACTGCATATCTACAAAATAATCAGAGATTAATAAGTTTAGTTATTAAAAAAATAAATAAATAAATAAAATGTTTCAAATATTAATTAATTTAATCTTAACGTTTAATGTCCGTTAAAAAAAAAAAAAAAAAATTAAGTTAAATTTGTCAACTTTGCATATATTAGTTATATCAGTGAAATATCATTCAGCAAAAATAACAAAAATCATTTTCATAACGATAAAATAAAAAAAGTATTTAGAAAATCAAGAAGATTTAAAATTATTAAAATTAGCAAATTTTCACGCATTTATATGCTCCAATAACAAAAACCAAATACAATATTAATTTTTATGACCTTTCATCCGTATACGGCGCAATAGTTATACTTTGTGAAGTAAGGTCGTTCGGTAAGCATAAATCGGTCGACGAATTTGGAACTGCAAATGTTGCAACATACAATTCATAATTTGTCATATTTGTAATTACGTAATTGCTACTTATTCGTATCGTTCGCATATCTTTATGTATGCTTGAACTTATACTCATCATACATATCTGTAATTGTACAATGGCATACATTTGTAAAATTATTCAACCATTATTAAAATTAAATGAAACAATTAAACGACAAACAATTAAACTTACACTAGATTCACAATTAACACACGTTTTAATATTCCCTTCTAAAGGAATTAAGCCTTCTATTCGGGGCATATAAAAACTTTGACTCCAATCTGGCGTAACTAATTGTAACACAGACGACATGAAAAACGTATCGGCAATACCAACTCCAATGTGAAAGATACCCTAAAACAAAGAAACAATTAAATTTTATAATTTACGGAAATAAAAAAAAAAAAAAATAGTACAATTCTTAAAAAGATATATTGACCGCTTATAGGCAGATATTATCTGATACATACAGCTAAAGCTATTTATTATTTAATGTTTTAAATTTTAAATTTCTACTAATCTGTAATCTATCTACAGTTTTAATAATCTCTAAGTATATTTCAGAGTGTAATTATAAACAATTCAAAGACATTGCAACATATCCGCTAGGGAGAACAATAATACGAACGTACCTCTAATTTTGGTGGTGTAACTATTCCGTAATGTGGTATTCTACAAAGTTCTGTATCGTTAAATACAATAGAAAGTTGAACACCGAGAGAATTTAAAACAAAACACCATGGCCGCAGTTCTAGAAGCAAGGTGCTCGACACTAAACCAGCATCTTCATATTTTACCTAATTAAAAATTCATAAAAATATATATTTTTATAAGCACTATATATATATATATATATATTATGAGATTTTAGTATATATTTAATGTTTAGAATATTTATATAATGATTATATTGCCAGTAAAATTACGAGTATGGAATTTTTTAAATTTTCATACATTTGAATGAATTTGAAATATAAGCGGAAAATTGATATTTGAATATAAAGTTAAAAGTTCCATAAGATTTTTAATAAATAAGATAAAAATTACAATTTCATTATTTATAATTTATATTAGCATACGTACTTGAATATAAGTCTGAGGTTGATCCGCCGCTATCCACGCACTAGTGTCTTCATTTTGGAAAGGCCATTTTGAGTCCTCTTTCGCTATTTCAAGTAAAGCCAGAACATCCTCAATGGTCTCCTTTTCCGGTCTTTTAAAAAACTTGCGCTGATCCACCGTGTTGTACGATAAAGGCACATGAGGATTTGATGCCGAAGCCCCCGACCTGCAGAATCCATATTGTAAAAGCATGTCATTGAATGAGATATAACGAGAGGACTAATTAATTACTCGATTTGGAAGGTAAGATGATGAAAGTGTTCAAAAGTTCCTGGACAGTATAGTTGTTGCCTTTCCCCACGGCCATTAATCACAGTATTTAACGATACGTTCAGCGACGGAGTTTTTATTTGTACTTTTGCTGGCACTGGTAAGTACGATCTTATCATGTATAGAGGACTTATGATTGCCTGAAATTTAAATATATTGTTCAATGAAAATCCGCAATCATACCTTAGTAATAAATCGAATAATAGAGAATACGTACAAGAATTTTATTTTTTCCATTCACCTGCTCAACGATTATCCTCACCCATATACTAATGAACTGTCCTTTCTCTTGCAAAGGTACTATAAAAAAATTAAGTTATAGTTTTTTTATTGTTTATCTATATTACGATTAAGTTTCTTATGGAAATTATTGTCGAGAAAATCGGTAGCAATCGTATCGATTAGTTATTACCAAATAATTAAATAGTTTAGTGTTACAAATGTGACACTATTATATATATATATATATATATATATATATATATATATATATATATATATATAATAGTGTCACATTTGTAACACTAAACTATTTAATTATTTGGTAATAAGATAATTTACAAATGGATATTTATGATAAATAAATGGAACTTGAAATAAAGAACTTGGAATATCAAACAATTGAAAACCGTAATAATTGCGTACCTTTAACAAGCCAAGGCTGTCCCCAAATTGTATTTGGCTGTAATGGAATATCACCGGTCCAAGACAAATTGGCAATGTTAGAGAATCTCAGACGCATTGACATATTATTATTATGATAAAGTATAATGGAGGATGGTTGAGAATTGGCAGGAATATTTAAAACTTCGCAGTGCACCAGTAATTTATTAGTTTTTGAGTCATATGTTACGAGCTTCATTTCAAAGCCCTCCATGAAATTATTTGAAATTATTAATTGGCCGGAAAATGTGACGAGTTTTTCCGAGGCCGAGAGTGATTTGACATTAATGGAAATGACCATGTCGAGATACGAGTGACTGAAGTCTGCATAATACGTGCCATCAACGTTCACCGAAAATGGTTTGCTCCAAATCCAACCGGTTTCCTCGACCGCTATGCGTAATACCTATTTTAAATTTTAATACCTTTAATTAATTATGCATTAAATGATGATTATGACGAATGTTAATATACCGTAAAAGATATCTGATATGTAAACGTCGCGTTAACTGCTGATTTGATAAAAATATATTCGAACAGTGTACCTGATTACTCGTGATTCTCCAGGAGTAAAAATGACATTGTCTACTTTCTAAAAGTATATTGTCATCGGTTCCGCTTTGACCAAAACGTACTGGAATGTTCATGTCATTAGCAATAGCATATCTAGTAGTAAGAACTAGCGTGGGCTTATTTGTTTGATTGAGCATGTCGTTCCATAGGTGAGCGGCTAGAGCAAGCGTATGGAAAGTGGAAGGGCTGAGCTTCAATGAAAATGGTTGAGAAACGAGCGTCAAATCCGTACTGTCGGTAATCGAGATTTGAGCTTTGATCTTTGCAGTGTCCAAGACTTCTTGAAGAAGGAGGAGCCCGTAATCTAATAAGTAGATACTGATATTCCCGGATGAGGCTAAAAATAAACATTTGTCGGGCCATTTGTTAAACAAAAAGGTGGCCTTCTTGTATTCGAGCAAAGCGAAGCATTGTGTCTCGGGAATCATGCCGTTTAGTTTGTAATTACTGAGCGGTGGCGGTAATATTTCGTAATAGTTCAAATCTAGGTGATTATAGAAGGATATATGAAATGCACGCACGTTGAAAGCCACCTGAATTTTGGGAACAATTAATGGATTGAAGTACGAATCAATTCGTAAACATCCGATTAGAGTTTTGCTCGAAAGTTTATTAATCTTTTCGGAGTGCTGAAGTATCACTATGCGCCAAACGCAGGCGACCGCGAGCAGTGGAATTCTATCGGGCAAATCGAGTCGATAGCTTTCCGTCTCGGAGATGTAGAGGTCAACGTAACGTTGATAGGCCATTTGACTTTCGCTCCAGTATTCAATGCTACAAGGTATACGATCCTCCGTTTTCATTCCCATACTGTCCACCTAAGAAGATAAGAACATTGAGTGCGTAAGTTAACATGACGATTAATTAATTATCTCTCGACGATTACGCGCATACGTGTGTAGGCGCCCATTGTTTATTTACCTCGAAGGGGACGGGACTGACATAGATTTTTGTAAGTGCTCGAGGATGAGGATAACGCCAAGCCATTGCTTGATGAGGAAAAGAAGAGAAAACTACCTATAATCATAAAATGGAAAAAAAAAATAATAAAGAAAAAGAAAAAGAAAAAGAGAAAGAACAAGAAAAAGAGGAAAAAGAAAAAGAGAAAGAACAAGAAAAAAAAAAAAAAAAAAAAAAAAGAATGAAAAAAGATGAAATTCAGATTACAATCATCTGCTGATTAAATTGAAAATAATTACTTGATAGGGAAAGGGAAGCTCCTCCACGTTTCCGTCAACGAATTGAAATGCTCCGGACTTCAAGTCGTCTTTGTAGTGCTGTTCGTGGGCTATAAAATTTGTCTGCTCTTCTTCGTATAAATGCGCCGCATACAACGAACTTATCTTAGCGACAACCTTTTGAAATTCTGACAAAACTGATTTTAAAATCAGTATGTGCTTAGGACCAAAGTCCAAATAAATGCAATCGCTATCTACTTGAATTTGAATTAATGGCGAGCTCGCCTCGCTCTGCCAAGACTCCCATATAACAGACACAATCGTGTTGCAAGAAAACGGATTTAAAAGTACGGTGATATTGGAGTCGAGAATCGTTGAAACGATAAATGAGTCCCACGTTAAATTAACATATATCCTTTCGGGTCTTAAGATATTGCTTAGATTAATGGAGAGTGTTGCTAAACTAAAAATAATTTCCGCTTCGGTCTCTGACTTGAATGAGAGAACGAACTGTTTGCTTGTTATATTTACATCAGGCATATTAAACTTTCGAGGAGTTGTGACTTTTTGAGTTATTGAATTAGGCGTATCCGTACCTGAATACAAATGCGTACTACTCACAGCATTCGTAAAGCATGTCGATATCTGAAATAAATTAGTGAATTTTTATTCATATATTATCATCTGGGCTGCTGTTTCCCTCGTACCTTGTCCTTTATGTACAATATGTCGCTTAAACGGGAAAATGAGATATGTATTTTCGTTGGTCTGCCCATGTTAATATTTAATTGTGGTATCTTTCCCACGAGCACGTCACGTTTGACAACTAGAAACGAAGGCGGTATTCCCGTATCAGGATGTGCCTCGCCGCTTTTCGTTTCTATGAGACAAACTTTAAAATCAGCTTCCGTTGGTATGGAAGTCGAATATTTCTCGATTGTATTACCAAGAAATAGAGCGACGTCAAAACAAGACACCTGTTACGTTTAAAGTAAGTATACATTGAAGTAATAAACTCAACAAAAATGGTTCTATTAATAGTTATTACACGTAATATTATTAGAATTATATTAATAATTATATACCTGATAAATTCATACATTATTAACACGAATTAACGATTAATTGTAATTATTGAATATATAATTTTTATTGTCGCTATTCTTACTCATTTTCTATTATATAGACATATCATTTTAGAAAGAATTTATTTATTCATTTATTTATTTAATTGCTTCGATTTCGTTTAATATTGTTTTAATACTTTTTCATGTAGCATACCGATAGTAGAATACAATACCACCTACTCATTTTCGTCAAAACTTAAAATTATACATTATAATACACCAACATTAAATAATTGAAATAAGTAAAATAATACAGCACAGTCTAATAAAACATGTAGAATAAATGAAATATAAATATAAAACTAAAAAGGATTTTGTAAAACTTATTTCTTTGAATTGATAAATTATTGTAATGTGCGTTTATGGCAATATCGTAAAATCATTAAATTCACATTCATACACAAGTAAATAACATGTTATAAACAAACCTGCATTTTTTTGTCAAAATGTTGCTGGGAAAAATAAAAATTTGGTTGATTAATCATAGCGTAAATTAACGGTTGCTTCAAATTATTCACGTCATCTTCTTCCATTTCAATTTCATTCTAAAATAATATTAATGTTTGTAGATCTAAATTATAAATATTGGTATCGATAACAGATTAAACATTACTTACCACTATATTTTCCGAATTCGTACTTTTTTTTATATCGTAGACAACCATTTTTATCTTCCCACAATTTATTAAAAATTCAAACGGTGGAAATTCTAACGTTTCTTGTAAATGAGACTTTTCCTACATTTTGTAATAGATATTAAATCAAATTGACTATTTAATAAAAACAAATTGAAATTTAATATAGTTCTGTTAATATATATATATATATATATATATATATATATATATATATATATATACGTAACAAAATATTAAATATATTTTTAGTGTTTTATATATGCATAATTTCTTAGAAAATATATGATCATTCCGTTTAAGTTTAAATGTAATTTAAATGTTAATATTTGTCTATAATATTCGTTTAGCTGTCTTCATGCAATCCATAATTGTATAACAATTTATTTTTTAAATAAAAAATATATTTTTTTTTTTTAATCAAATCTAACACTTCTAATAAAAGAGTATTAAAAATTCTAATATTAAACAATTTGTTTTGCTTAATAATTTTTTTTTTTCACATACTTACAAGATTTAATGAATTTACACTAGAAATTTCAAAATCGACTCCACTGTCTTTGGTAAAATCAGTCTCGGATTCCAATATTACATAATTCGTTGGAGTAATAATTTTTGGATTAAATGATACTATTGCCTTTTTGCAACGCACTGGAGCCTCAAAAATATTAACTTCTTTTGTTTCATCCAATGCTACTAAGCTTGTAAATTGTGAATACAGTGACAAAAAAAGTTTCATTTGATTCAGATTTACCATCAATTCTAAATCTGTTAGACAATTAACTTCAGCAGCACTACCACAAACCATAATATCAGGTTGAAACATAACAACTGGAGCAACGATAAAACAAAAATCGAATCTATAATAAAAGAAGAACAATCGTCAATTGATATTATTAGCATAGATGTTTAATGTTCAAATGCATTACTCATAATAGAATAAGAATATCTTTAATATTTAATTTTTTTATTTTTATTATATTAAGATTTTCGGGTGAGATATGAATCGATGAATTACAAAATAATTTATAATATACCTTGTAATGACAGGGAGCGTTGAAAAATGGGATTCGAGATTGCTTTCATTTCCTAATTTATTCCATTCAACTGCAGGATTTTCATTCATTGTATACAAATATGATTGTGACGTTCGCTATAATATAAAATAAAATTACAAACTAGACCCTTTCAATATTACGTACTAATAAGAATAAAAATTGAACGGTCTATTTTATAATTAACAAAAATCGATGAAAGACAATGTTGATTTATTCATTAATAATTTTCTATCAATAATAAATATCTCGTCAAATAATAATTTTTTTTTTTTTTTTTTTTTTTTTTTTTTTTTTTGTTGTCAATTCATGTATACATATATATATACGAAAAATATTAAAAATTTTAGATAGTATATACACAATAATTTATATTTAAAAAAATAATAATAATAAATTAAATATAATTATATTTAATATTTTGTTAACCTTGGCTACACTTTGCTGATAATTTTTCCAAGTTGTTGTATGAGCACATATTCCATCGACATTTATTTGATATTGACGATCTTCAACTGCTGATCCTGGCACATTTAATATATTTGCTTGCGCAGCCAATTGATAAATATCAGATCGAAGCGGCACCCTACATATAGGATTTTCCGCATGTGGCGCAATTCGAATATTATCCAACTATTTTTATTGTCATCAATGGAAAATGTATGAAAAATAAAATATAATCATAAATTTCTTTATAATCTTAAAAAAAAAAAAACAAAAAAAAAAAAAATGTTTTAATATATTGAAAAATATTTTTGATGAGAACTCTGCATTATCGTGGTTACTATTTAAAAAGAGTATAAGAATTATGATAATTTGGTCTTATATATGCTCTTTTTTAATTGTTATGGCAATTAATTACATTGAAATTCTGTGAGAAGCTATTTTCTTGAAAATGTACTTTTTACGAAAAATCAAATTGTATTTTCAATAAAAGTAAATAACTGTTTTAATAGATATACCTTTAGCATTAAAAGATCGTGTTGTAAATCTTGAATAGATTCAGAAGCAACTGGTAGCATTAAACGAAAACCTTTAAATTCTAAATAGATCAAAGGAAGTGACTCATTTCTTAAATTAGTAAATCCAATAAAGGGCGTTGAAAGATTTTTTCCATTAGTAGTGGAATTCTTTTGAATTGATTTTTTATTTAAAAATGGTTTTATAAATTGCATGTACTTTGCTAGAACACTAGGCGGAATAATAATATCCACTGTTTGAATTTTAACAACAGCTTCTGTGATATATGCGTTCGTTGGCTGTAAGGATTCGACTCTCAAATCTCTCTGTTAAGCATAAAAGAAGAATATATAAAAATAATAATTATCGTCAATTATAAAAATGTCGATATAATACAAAAGTGACCTTTTGTGATTTGTAAGTCTTATGTGCACCCCATCGAGTGTGCACGTTTCCTGATTTGGCAATCGTCAATGTCAGTGTCATAAATCCAGAATCTTCACTTTTTTCGAAATTATCTTCTCTCGCACAAAGTACCAAACCAACATAATCTCCAAAATCCCATTGATCGTTCTCGCATCTTCTATTAAACAAAAAAAAAACAAAAAAAAAAACAAAAAAACAAAAACAAAAAACAAAAAAAATTGAACGATTAAAAATATGTAAGAAATCAAACTATCTACATTTATTTATAAATACTTTTATTTACAAATACAATACCGAGTATAATGAAAAATTGTGGCTGTTGTTATTTTGTGTTTAAGTTTTAAGTATACTGATTGAATATCAACTGATGTAATAATATCTTCAAGATCTAAAACCAATTTTAAAGTGGCATATTCACTCTCGCCCATGACATATAATTTAACAGAGACTTTTGTTATTGTCCATTGAATGGATGCTGTAAGATGTAAGTCATCTTCGTCTAAAATAAATAAAAACATCATAATCGCTGATCAAATATTTGCTTTCATTATTATATTACTATGGCGTTTATTTTAATTAAAAAGTAATTTAAAATGTATCTTAGATAAAAAATTAATTAATTAATCGATATATTACGAATAGCTTTTATATATTATATTTCAACCTTGTCCCGTATGTTCTTTTACTGCGGATAAAGTTGATGTTGACGCGGCATCCTCGGTATATGGCAATTGCGTTGGGCTAGATGAACTTTGTGGTATTCTAAAGGAAATATCTTTCGCATCCTTAATGTCACTGTATGCATTTACTTTACTTGGCAATATCGTTTGAATCAAATCTACAATCATTTCAAATACATTATAAAGAAATATCACCTGAAAAATATAATGTACGTTTATTTTTGCTATTATTCATTGTGAATATATATTATTGTAAATACACTTTACTTGTTCTTCTGATATAGAAATAATGATTGGTGATGTATCGATATATAAGCATAGGCTTAGAGCGGAGAGCTTATTTTTCTTCGAATCTAAAGTCGAATCTTTCACAGACAAATCAAATGTAGCTTTAATGCATACTTTTTTAATAAACTCACGATGTACATATCCTTTTAAAGTAAAGGATTCAAAATTTAACATTTCGAGTGTCCATGGAAAACTATGAATTTCTAAAATGTAATAATTAATTATGTTTAGAAGTATGGATATATATATATATATATATATATATATTATTATTAAAAAGTGTATGATTGCATATTTACGATGTATCCACATATCTTTAGGTAAGACTATAGGGAAATCACGAAGAAAAGTGTGCAAACGTTCTGATTGAATGTGAGAAGAATGTACGTTTATTGATGGTAACTTTATAACAAGAATTTGTAAATCTGGATCGTTTTGTAATGCATCATCTGCCGCTTCTGCAATTCCTAAAAAAAAAAAAAAAAAAAAAAAAAAAAAATTGATTAGTATTTTTATTACAACCGACATTATAAATAACATATATTTAAGGAATCTACCTGTCTTACCTTCTACTCCAACCCCACTCATTGTTTCCGTCGGTATATAAATAATAATATGCTCTATCGATCCATTTAAAACGAGTCCAGACCACCAGGAATATAATTCGGCTATTTTGCCCATTATGCTTACATTCTATAAGTTCAATTATTATTTTAAATTAAATATTAAAGTATAGCGTTCTTTTAATTAAAATTTTCTCTAAAACAATGTGATTAAATAAATAAAACAATCGTAATGACGATAATGATGATGACGATGACGACCATGACGACAATGATGATGATAATAATGATGATAATAATAATAATATTGCTCTACTACCACATTTTGCTGTACATATAACTTGTCATCAAAATTGCGTACAAGTGCAGCAGACTTGTATATCTCAAATTTACGATAAGTAGACTTGCAGTAAACTAGCAGATTTTAAGTAATTGTTAAACAAAGATATATGACTTGAATATCCATCTGCCATTCAATTAAATTATAGTAAGAAGCATATCGATCAATCAATTAACGAACATCCCGATCAAATATAATTGTACCAAGCATGCGAAAGCTTATGCTAAAAACAGTAGGATTTAAGAACATAATTGTAAAATAAAATAGTATTTAACTTAAGTATGCAACTGCTAGTGTGATAGTGTATGACTAATTTTTTTTACTATTATATAGTATTATGATTATAAGAATAAATTTTTTTTTTTTTTTTTTTTTAAATGATACAAAACTCTATAAAACTAACATTTGCTATATTTAATAGTAATTATGAATAAAATACAAAAAGATATATACAACTTATATATGCATATAATGTATTCTTAAGTTATTAATCAAGAAATTAAGTGGATAGAGTATGGAATATATCAAAATCATGTTCTTATATATAATTAACTTTTATATATAATTTTTAATATTTATTATAGCACAGAAATAAGCATAATAATAAACTTATAAGTAAGTCATAAAAAATTAATTTTTAATATTTATAAATTTAATTGTATTCTTGCTCTAGCCATAAATTAATATACATAATTATGGCTTTCATGTAATATATATCAATCAAACATGTATCACAGATTATTTAAAAACTTTATAAAATTCAAAGATGAGTCATATAATATTGCTAGAAATTACAAGTATATTACATATCAAGCGTACAGATTTTAATAAAAACTGATCGTGAATCTGTGACACACAATCCGATACACTTGTCTGCCCATGGAATCTGTTGCAATTTTTTTTTAGTTCAATGAAAATTACAGCTAAATTGTGGCACAATTGTAACTGTATTGTAAAATATGCGATATTTTTTCATGAATTCTATTTAATTTTTCAAAACAATAATTTAAATTTCTGCGTAAAATGAATTAAAAAATCCAATATACTTTACCGCCTTAATATTTAAAAAATATAATTTCACAATTTAATAAGCAATAAGAATTAATCTATTAACTCTAGTTAAATTACATAGAAATTTATTTATGTACTTATTTATACGTAAAAGATAATCGAGTTATTAATTATCCTATTAAAGTCCTATTAAATCCTATTAAACATAATTTTCAACTACTGTAAATGTTATTTTATTTCCACTTATTCAAAATTTTCGAGTATACCTTCTAGTTTTAATTTACTAAATACATTCCACAAATATATTTTTCATATTAAATAAATATTTATTTAAAAAAAAAAAAAAACAAAAAACAAAAAAAAAACAACCTACCTCTTTAATCCCTTCAGTATCTAAAATTTTATCCGATTCGTTAGTCTTATCAACGGATTTATTTTTACACTTCTCTATGGCTTCTTCCATTTTTCTCTTTTCTTTGTCCGAAGAACTATGTACACTTTCATGTAAACTTGGAAAAGTTCGTTTTTTGTTACCCATATCCGAAATTGCAGACTCATTAAGAACTTGTACAGAGTCTGGTTTCATCGAATGTGTTGTATTCAATTTATAATAAGTAACGCGATAATTAAGCCATTGAAGTATTATTGGATCTAAGCAACCTTTCATCGAAGCAATACGAAAAGATAAAATTGTTGGGTGTCTTTGATTATTATATTCCTTTGAAAATTGTATCACAGCTGTCAATAATACTTGATCATTCTTGCTAAAAATAAATTTTTCATTAAGAGCACATTATTTTATCCGAACAAATTTACATAATTTATATAAATATAATTTAGATTAAATACACTTAAAAGGCAACATATTTTTACCAAGAATTTTCAATTTCAGGTCCAGACAATATAAATGCTTGTTGTACTTGCTTGAAGGCAAATACTTTTATAGCACTTATATTTAGTGTACATGTTGTGGTACTCACTGACATTTTAAGTTCATGAGTTATGTTCTCTAAACAAAACTCAACATAAATAGGATCTACAAAGATAAAAGTGAATTAAATTCATTAAAAATTTTTTATACTTCAACCCTTACTTTTTTCATCGTATGCATCTGTATACAAAGATGAGCATAAAAGTGGGTTATTCAAATCATCTGGATATAAAAGCGAGGTAATGATTGAAGTAGCAATCATAATTTTTGTTTTGGTTCCAGTAACTGTGATGGAATTAATATTCAGATTAAGAAAATTATGCATTATATTTACATTTTTCCAATATGCTGGATAAAGCAGCATACGCAATTCGCATTCTAAATTGCAAGGCATAATAATCATTGTCCGCCTGGTCGATGTCAGACAAACGTGACTACTGAAACCTTGCAGCTGAAAGCAAAAATTTTATACAAATTGTAATTTAAGATCTTTCTTTCGAATGGCTTAAGCACATTCAAATGCAAAATATAGGCTAATAAACTATAATTTTTATAATTTTTATTATAATTTTTATAATTATAGTGGCTAAAATAATGCACTATCGGTAGACTAATGATCTAATATCTTATGTGAAATAGATGGTGATCCTTTGTTTATTTAATATTTCGCCAATTAATATTGCTTAAAAAATAATAATATAATAGTAATTATTATCTTACTGTCATTTTAATATTTCGATAGCATTGATTTAACATTTCCGGTGGAATATCCGTTTGTTTAGAAGCGCACGAAACAAGTCTAAATGGATATAATGGTTCCTCAAACTTGACCGATATTGCCTGGCATCCCATACTCACAAAAGGATCATCAGAGAAGTCTGGCATCAATGGCATTGTCTAAATTTATAAATATTTTATCATCTATCAATAAAGGCATTATTATTCTAAATTGTAAATAATATACGAATGACAATGTGTAATACTCACTCGATTTTCAAGATATTTTCGTTGACGAGGCAAACCAGTTATACGATGATCAGCTAATTGTAATTCAATATAAAAGCTTAATGTTTGTAAATTTATCGTGACCATAGGAATTCGTTTTCTTAAAGCTTCATATTCCTCAACGGTCACCGGCGGTAATTCATCAAAAGTTGGTACTAGAAACATTAATTATTCAAGTTTTTTTTTTAAATTGTCGTCTTTAATGAAGTCATTAAATTATTATATTAATTAAATATACATGGTTTCGGAGTACTATAAGGGCTATAATCGTATTTATCAGCGGCTTCTTTAATTGAATTTATACGATGAATCAAGCCTGAACATAATCTGACGGTTAAAGGTCCTACAGCGTATGCAATGTGTCTCTCTTCAATAAAATTACTATAAATGGAAATTTATTTCTTATCAATATCATTAAATATTACGAACGATAATGTGGAAATTCAGAAAATTTATGAAAAAAATTTGATAAGGATATTTGTTTCGATGATTTGCACTTTTAGATGCATTTTAAGAATAATTTGCTGTATCTAGTAAATATATAAATTATCTTTGATCAAATTTTTATGTCCCTTTAGGACATTATCGTGTATGAAATCTAAAATAGATTTTGCTAAACCTGTATTCGTAATTTGATCCAAAATCCGCCAAAATTTCTGGAGGGATGTTGTCAGGTATTCTGGTTTGATGAACGTAATACATACAAAAAGCAGGACATCTTTCTAATAATACTACAACTAAAATTTTTTCATTTAAATAATATGAATTGACATAATTTCATTTTAAAGAAAAAGCAGAAAAAAAAAAGATAGCTAAATGCAACAAGAGATTAAAACATCTACGTTAATTACAAATTATTTATTATTTAAGAATAAATATAACAATAGAAAGGCAATATTTATAATTTAATGAAATGTCCAAACAATTATATTCCGCTAATACCTTTATATTATTTATATATCTAATCTATATTTTTATTCAAATATTTAAAAGATTAAATTTCAAAATTACCATTATGATTATAAATATGATTTAAAATATCTTTTGTGTATATTCTTTTCTTTCCTTGATTTTCTAAAGCATTATTATCAAATAAGGTATCCTTTAAATAATTACTCTTACATACTCCAACCGTTAAGTATAAAGGTGGCTGTAATAAGAAGTAAAATTATGCAATGCAATTTAATGGTATTAAATTAATTGTTAAATTTTTCTTTTAAACACCTGTGCTCCGTCTATGACTTCTAAATGTCCACAACTGCAAGTTCCTCGTGGGTAAAGAGAAATATTTCCAAAACCAATAGTAAAATTTGTCATCGAAATTCCTTGTAAAACTACATCGAATATAGCCTCACAGAAACGAAGTGTTAGAAATGATTTATATTTTATTTTACGAGATTTATAAAATAGCTGTTCCTTTACGCTTTCGACAGTCTTAACAAGAAAAATGAAGAAATTAAAGTCAAAATTAATGTTTTTCATAATGCATAGGACAAATTTATAATAAATTTACCAACCTTAAATGTAATTGTAGCCTCCTTAATATAAAAGCCAAAGTGTATTACATGACCAGAATATGCGATATGTTGTTCGTTTGACCAATCGTTTTGCCAGTCCACAGGAAGAAATGACGACACTGTATTCCAAGCCCACAAACCCCAGGTAGAATCTGATGTGGTATCACTTACTTGAATTAGATTATCTGATAAAAAGAAAATTAAAATACACGTTCAATGTAACACATACTATAAACACATTCTGTAAAATATCTAATAACCTTTAGATGAATCGATCTCTTCTTCTGCAGTTGTACGTGATTTTTCTTTAACAATTGGCAACTGCGTAGATTGCAATAAAGTAATTAATGCAATTAATCGCAGTATCATTGGAATTTGTTGTTCGGTTACACTAAACTCCATTTTGAGGCAGCATAAGTCAAGCCTTGTTATTGACGCTCGCTTTGCTATATTACTATGATAATTCATAATTAAACGTATAATCATTGAGCATCTATATAATACTGGATCCTGCACAATAAAGAAATATTTAGGAATTACAGAAGAGCTAGTCTTAATTGAGAAATAAACTGATACGAACCTGGTAGATTTCAATTTTTCCAGAAGTGTCCATTTTATCAAGACACAAAGTTAAATCTTGAATTTTAATAATCTTTTGTAATTTTACTTCATAACTGCTCGTATCTAATAATTATGAATAATTTATAAAAATTCATTTTAATATCGTAACCCTTAAGAAGTAAGAAAATAAGAAATATTTTTTTTACCAGTAAATGCTGGTTCCCATTTATTATTAACACTCTGCATGGATAAAAATTTGACATTAATACTAAGGACAATATCCTCTTCGACATATTTTAGAATTAAATTATTGCAATTGATAGTAATGTTATTTATAACTTTTGTAACAATAGTTTTAATATATCCAGGAGGTGCCTCTTTTCTATAATATAAAAACATAAATATATTATAAAATTTTCAACTTTAAAATAATTTTAATGTATATAACTTTTACTCACTGAGAAATGTCTATTTCTCTCGAAGGTGACAATATTGAAATGTTATCCGATTGACTTTTATCTTTTAATTTTAAGATGCATTCTACAAATAATACATCACTTTATTAAATATTCTCTATGATATTTATTATACATACTATTGTAGATACTTGCCGATGGTATTAATTGTTATAACAATAGGTTCTGATGTAATTTTAACCCAAGGCACGTGAATAAGTAATTCATGTATATGTCCACTGACAAAGGTAAATGGAAGATTAAGTTGTTCTTCCAAAACTTCCAATCGTAAATCAAGATTTTGAAAAGATGCATCTCCGCCCCACAAAGAGACCTTTATATATAAATATTTGTTACAAATAATTTAGCGTAAAAACAATCTTTTGTTACAAGAAATATATTTTAATGTACCTGCGATTGTTCTGGCTTGAAATTTTTAACATACTTCTCGACGTAACTGAGAATCACAGGAGTTATATACGATTCCAATTTGAACATTGCAGCAAAGATTTAAAAAATATTTCATGTTTCCTTTCTATCCTTATTCATATCACTTTTATTTGTGCTATAATTACTTTTGTTTGGTACAATGATAAACAGCAGCATGTAATAAAATTTGAAAATTAATTACTTAATGGTTTAATAATTAATTAATATGCGCGCATGCATGCACATATTTATTTAATTGCTAATACGATATATTACAATTTGTTGAAATGAAAGTAGCACAAAGATAAACAAGACTTGGTTAGAAAATAAAAAAATATGTTTTATTAATGTTAATGTATTATAGTATATGATTAAAAAATAGGAATAAAAGAAGCAATAAAATACATACATTATTTTATAAACAAAATCTGAATACATTTTCCTTTATAAATAAATTAAAATCGTTTTAAAATAATAATGTAAATAGTCTTAACTCTCAAAAATATACTCGCGTACAAAATTTTCCAATCATAGAATTTCTATACACACAAAAACATTCATTTGTTATTATATTCATACATCAACGTAAAGAAAATTTTTTGCAAATTCAATATCATATATGTAACATATTTTTTTAATTGAATGCAGTTACGTCTGGAAATAATGATGACATGACTGATAAGATAAGAATAATGGTGAAAAGAAATATTAGAAATCGCTTTTATCGGTAGTTGATATACAAAATCCTGTATTCTTAATTTTCATAAGAACCACTGCATGTTACATGTTAATAATTAATTATACTATTGAATAAAAAATGCTTCTGATAATATAAGTATGTTTCAAAAAAAAAAAAAAAATGTTGATTTTAATATTACTCATTAGAGAATTGATAAAATTATATTTACATTATATTATTGACCGCCAATGTTTTAAGTAAAAATGTTATTATTAAAAAGCAAAGTATGCAATAAAAAGTATTTAAAGTGCTTATTTGAAAAACGGAATAGTTATAGTTCAGTAAAAATTAAAATACTGCACGAAATCATAAGTAAATATATTAATATTGTATATTTCAGTATAAACAAATGATTTTTTTACGTATCCGTATTATCATTAACTTCATATAGTTAAACGTTTAGTATTTAATCGTGAATCATTTATTTATTAATATTATCATATAGTTATTAAATTATTAATCGCGCCACCATCATAATCAAGGATTACAAAATATAAAGATAAAAAATATTGAAGATAAATATATTGCAAAATTGAAATGTCTTTGCGAATGTCATATTCCGATTTTAATTGTCGATATAAAAATTTCGTATGCTCCAATGCTCATTGATTTTAAAAATATTTTGTTTCCAATTGAAAGTACTCGCGACTGTGTTTTAATTTATCTAAACATCATCGTTTAGATTATTTTGAGCCTTTATAATGCATTATGCACATCTTTAAAAACAATTCATTTGAAATTTATTTTTTCTTTCAAAATTTCTGTGGGCATTTGCCTTGAAGATGTCTTGAAGACCAATTTTTTACATCTATGTTACACTAATTCGAAAAATGACACACTTAGTGAGAGACCTTTTGGTATCTTTTGGTATATCTAGGTCCACAATGGTATTGTTTTCGCTTTGCATCAAGGCGGGTTTCCTCGCTCAGGAGGATTCCGATGTCTTTTCCTCTTTGGATCTTTGTTCTGTCGCGAGAGATCGGCCGCAGTTTGTTCGCTTCTACAAAATAGTTCTCCTTGTGGTCCTGAATCTTTTCTATGGGGCAACGACTACCTTCGTCTATACGTCCGAAAGGTCGGCTGGATATGATATTGTCAAGCGTGATGCGTCCAAGATAGTTAGTTACCTAGTCCCTTTTCTTCACTCCTCCGTCGTTCACAGTTTAAAAAAAAAAAAAAAAAAAAAAAAAAAAAAAAAGTGTGAAGGGCATCTCGTGCGAGGGAGAATCACAGTAGGCGTTCTCAGGTTGAAACACGTTTCTAGCTTTATTAAAAGGTGAAGACGAAAAAGGCCATTCCCCCTTAAGAACAATAATACTTTGGAAATACATACAAAATATTTATAAATAATATCGATTACCCATGCAGTAAATCACATTTTTTACAACTTTTATTACTATTCGTATGGTTTATGTCCGCTTGGCTTATGTCCGTATTTGTTAATTAATAGCTTAAAGAAATTGAGAGAAAAAGAATTTTGTTAATAAAAAATTTTATTAATATGTTGTTGTTGTGTGTGTGTGTCTGTCTGTGTGTGTGTGTGTGTGTGTGTGCATGTGTGCGTGTGTGTGCGTTTATGCATATACGTATATAGAAAAATGTTGAGAAAATTGTTACTAAACAATATGATGCAGATTTAAAAATGTTTATTAATTATTTTATGCTTAAGCTGTGTAGAAGATAAAGCAAATACAGCAATATTTAATCATTTATATACTTTAGCAATAAGGGATTAGATTGTAATGGAGAAATGTTTATATTAACGATTGAGGTTCCAATTTTTAATTATGAACTTGCGAATATACTCGCGAAGGTCAATAAATTTTATTGCCCTAAAAATTATGTATTTCTCTTTGATCGCATTGAATTATTGATATTGCAATGTTTAAAAATGAGCATCTTATGTCACCTTAAGTTGTGCCATGAAATAAATAGGATGGATAATTGCTTACATGCATTTATATATCGACCTCAATATACAAATATATTAGATATATGTGATTTCAATTTTAAATGTATTAATATAAACGTGTCGTTATATTTATGCACGAGTAAAGAAAGAACTACTGACGAAAAGCTGAAAAAATAAAAAAAATTAATATAGTTTCATTAATATTAAATTTAATGACCAAATGCCTTGCGTTTAATTTAATTTATACGCTTGCATAAAATCACGTGTGCCTTGTAAATTTATGTATCACCATAGTATCATAAATAAATCACTGGAAAAAAATGGTAAATGATAAATGAAGTTACGTACAAATCAATGATATGGCAATGTACTACAGTTAATAACGTATCACATAAGGGGGAAACTACGATAAAGAAACAAAGATCGATTTGTCTTCGTGAAAAGTAAAAAATGAATCGATAAAAATACTCGCATCAAATTCAATCAAAGTTCACGATATTCTTCCTACTAACGTACTTTACCCTCGTTCTTTATCATAAGGATATTTAATTATTTCATAGTAGGTTATGGCTTTGTGTATTTGGTTTATTACCATCTTGCGTTTTACTGGAAATTAAAATAACAATTGGATATGAAATATCTATTTAAAGATTGGCGAGCGTATGAAAGTTAATAATAATTTAATTAATTTACTATGATGCGCGATCGTCTAATTTGAATTTTGACATCGCAATGACTACATTATCTCACAATGGTTTACTACAAATATAGTGGACAAAGTAAAAGTGGCTCAGATCGGATAAAAGGGACTTTGGCGACTTGGATCTCAGTAAAATTACGAGTTCACGAGTCTTATTTGAAATTATTCTAATGAAGTAAGAATTCACATTCTTGTCTACTTTCTACTTGAACCTATTATAACCTTCTCTGAATAATTACTTGTGCATTCATGTACTTCAGTTTGTTTTGCCTATGAATTTTAAAAACAAGGCCATCGATAGGTCGAGATGATCGTCGCAATAATTAAACGCCGGATTTCATAGTGCCAAGTAGCGAATCCTCGTAGATGAAAACACCCGCGAAAAATCAGCGAACCACCCCTAAAACGGGGGTGGGGTGGTAAGTGGAGAGAAGTCGGAGCAGGAGGTAAATATTGACGAGCACGTGCGCACGGAGGGACGACGGCTGTGTCGGGAGGCGCGCGTGGAAGAAGAGCCACGACGGTCGCGTGTGAGAGGCCCGAGTTTCGGCGATTCCCACGCACCGCTGCCAGCCGGCGCGCACCCCACCCGCTCCGCCGCCCGGCACTCACAATCGCACTACTCTCTCTCTCTCTCTCTCACTCTCTCTCTCTCTCTCCCACCCTCCGCCGTTCCCCCTTTTTACGTCCAACCATCCCCTTCCCGTCTCTTTCCGTACCTTACCGCACTGTGTCGTCACCCCCTCCCGCCGCCACGCCACCACCGCCACCACCATCACCACCACCACCACACCGCCGACCTTCTTGTGCGCGCACACATGCACTCACGCGTAAACATACACATACACACACACACTCTCTCTCTCTCTCTCTCTCTCCCCGCCCCCGACCGACCCAACTACACTACCCGAGTGTCCCTCGCTCCGGGTGCCCTTCACTCCCCTCGCAGGCACTCACACAATGGCAATTCTTCAATGGCCTACGCAAACAATTAGGCCGTAAGGGCCGTCCCTCCCATGGAAAGGGCACGGGAAAGCGCGGAAATGAGCAGGTGCTTTCGAAGCTAATCTCGCATTTTCTGGGCCGATCGCTTATAATAATCACGGAGCGCTTGTTCAAGATCGTCTCGACGTGCGTTGCCGCCGCGATTTGACTTGCACGTGCGCTCGAGTGCTCATTGATGACGTCGCTGCCTTGTTGAACATTGGCGGCCTGGACTAATTGCTAAAATTATCGATAATTTGAGTCGTGCGGCGGGCCCCTGGCGATTATTTCTTGCAGAAATGGCGATGAGAAGGAGAAACTCACTGGCAAATCTTTTCGTGGTAAGCCAGCGGGATGTTCAATTTGAAGTTGCATTTAGATTCAGTTTAATGGTCATCGATGATATCGAGTCTCTCTCGCCGAGAGCACACATTCATCGCAATCGATCCACTGATTTTAGCGACTAATGTCTTGGTTGAGGGGGTGTTGAATGGAGATGGGGGTGAGGATAGATGGGGGGGGGGGGGGGTAGACCAGGGTGGATAGGATAAGCGCTAGGTTAAAGGTTAGGACAAGTCGAGAATGGCTCTTTTGTTGTCTCGAAAACCGGTGCACTCGGAAAATCCAAGGGAAAATGGTGGACTATCGCGTTTTCCACGAGTAGCATGGAAAAGGCAGAGCAAAAAAAGTTGACGTAACGATGACAGGTCGTCGGATCGCGCAATTAAAAAAAAAAAGAAAGAAAAAAGAGAGAGAAAAAAAAGAGGGAAGAGCTCGTGCGAGCAATTT